TTAACAAAGATAAACAGAAAACTCCTTTATGTACCATTTTAGTCATTCTTCACCACAGAAGTGGACATTATGCTGACTTCTGTCATCGAGATTAGTGTACCTGTCCTGTGTTTGAATATTGAACAAATGGGATCAAACCATATATGTCCTTTTGTGTCTTTTTTCACTCAATATTACATCCATAAGATCATCCTATATATCCACATTCGGCAGTAGTTTGTTATTTTCTATTGCTGCACAGTATTCCATTGCATGAATATAGCACAATTTATTTACATACTAGAGGCCTGGTGCACAAATTTGTGTGTGGGTGGAGTCCCTTGGCCTGGCCAGGGATCAAGGCCTATCGGGGGGGTGGTTAGCAGCGGGGAGGGACCGTGGGAGGTTGGCCAGCTGGCAGGGAGAAGTGGTCTCAGGAGGTTGGCTGTGGGAGTGCACTGACCACCAGGGGGAAACTCCTGCGTTAAGCATCTGCCCCCTTGTGGTCAGTGAAAGTCATAGTGACTTGTCGGCTGGTCATTCCAGTTGTTCTGGTCGTTCGATTGTAATGGTCACTTAGGCTTTTATATTATATATAGAGTCTACTGCTGATCGTCATTTGGGTAGTTTCAAGTTTTTAGCTATTATCAGTAAAGTTGATAGGAACATTCTTATCCATGTCTTCAGGTAAACATAAACACTCATTTCTATTCCACATTAAGTTGAGTGGAACTGCTGATCATGACATATATATTTAGCTTTAATATATACATATATATATATTTAATAAATAATACTGCATATATATTCCAAAGTGTTTGTGCCAATTTATGCTCCCACCAACAATTATATGGGAATTCAAGTTTCTCTGTATCCTTGTCAATATTTACTATTTTCAACTTTTTAATTTTAGCCATTATATTGGGTATATTCTGCTATCTCATGGTTTTGCTTTTTCCTGATGAGTAATAATGTTGATCTCCTTTTTATATTTATTAATGATTTGTGTTTTTTCCTACTGATTTGTATAAATTCTTTCTATAATTTTTTTTGTAAGATACATGCACAGGAAATATAGTTTCCCAGTATGTAACTTGCTTTTTGACTCACTTAATGGTATCTTTTTTTTAAAAAAAAATCTTAATTTTTTAAAATTCTCACTTGAGGATATGTTTATTGATCTTAGAGAAAGAGGAAAAGAGAGAGAGAAGCAGACTGAGAGAGAGAGAGAGAGAGAGAGAGAGAGAGAGAGAGAGAGAGACAGCAATGTGAGAGAAACATTAATCCGTTGCCTTCCGTATGCACCTGGAGATCAAACCTGCAACTTAGGTATGTGCCCTGACCAGGAATCAAACCCAGAACCTCTTTGGTATACAAGATGATGTTCCAACCAACTGAGCCACCCAGTGAGGGCAAGAGATCTCAATTTTAATAAAATCCAATATTTTCATAGTTAGTGATTTTATGGCATTTTTCCCCCGAGGAAGGTGAGCGACATAGGGAGCAACAGGCTTGGGGAGCTGTGTAGAGCACTGCCATGTCCACATTTACTGACACACCAGATACAGTTTTTAATTTTTATTTATTTTCCCCTCCTTTGCCCCCCTCCACGCAGACCCCTGTCCTCCCCTTCTCCTGGCCCTACCCACATTGTTGTCTGTGTGCATGGGTTATGCACATATGCTCTTTGGCTATTCTCTCCACCTTCTTTATGGCCCACCCACCTCCCCTCTGGTATCTGTCATTCTGTAACATGTATCCATGACTATGGTTCTATTTTGTTCATCAGTTTATTTTGTTTCTTGGATTCCACATATAAGTCAAATACTGTCTTTCTCAGACTGGCTTATTTCACTTAGCATTATAATCTCCAGGTCCATCCATGCTGTCTCAAAGGGTAAGAGTTCCTTCCTTTTTAAAGCAATGTGGTATTCAATTGTATAAATTTACCACAGCTTTCATATCCAATAATCAACCAAAAGGGTACTTGGGCTGTTTTCAGATCTTAAATTTTGCTGCTTTGAACCAATCTTTCTGATTGGTGTGTTGGGATTCTTTGGATATATTCCCAAAAGTGGGATCACTGGGCCAAAAGGCAATTTCATTTTTAATTTTTTGAGGAAACTCCATACTGTTTTTCACAGTGGCTACACTAGGTTGCATTTCCACCAGTAGTGCACAAGGTTCCTGTTCCTTTTTCTCCACATCCTTACTAGTACTTGTTATTTTATTGATGATACCCATTCTGGCAGTTGTGAGGAATAGATATCTCATTGTGGTTTTAATATGTATCTCTCTGATGATCAGTGATATTGAGCATTTTTATATGTCTATTGGTCATATGTATGTCCTCTTTGGAGAAGTGTTTATTTAAGCAATTTGTCTATTATGAAATTTAATTATCTGTTTCCTGATGTTAAGTTGTATGAGTTCTTTACATATTTGGGGAAATTAACCCCTTATCAGATATATCATTGGCAGATATGTTCTTCCTTACAGTGGATTCCCTTTATATTTTGTTGGTTTCTTTTGCTGTGCAGAAGATTTTGAGTTTATTGTAGTTCCATTTGTTTTCCCCTTTATTTTCCTTGTCCTAGGAGATATATCGGCAAAAATATTGCTATATTAGATGTCTGAGATTTTACTAAGTTTTCTTCTAGAATTTTTATGATTTCACAACATATTTGGGTCTTTATCCATTTTGAGTTTATTTTTGTGTATAGTGTAAGTTGGTGGGGGGAAAAATCATTTTTTTTTTTGGCATGTATCTAACCAATTTCCCCAGTGCCATATACTGAGTAGTCTTTATTCCATTGTATGTTCTTGCCTCCTTTGTCAAATATTGACCATAATGTTGTCGGTCGATTTCTGGGCTCTCTGTTCTGTTTAATTAATCTATATGCCTGTTCTTATGCAGTACAAGGCTGTTCCAGATGCAGTTTTTTATTTCAAGCATAGGCTTTGAGGCTTTATTGGGTGTGCCAAGGAGAACATAGTATATTCTCTTATTTTTTTTATTGTTTTGCTTTCCAGACTTGGGTCTCTGATCCACTTTTGATTGTGTATGGTATGAGGTAGGCATCAATGTTCATTTTCCCCCCAGGCAGATATCCATCACTTCAGCATCATTTTTTATTAAAACGACCATTACTCCCTCTCCCCGCCCCTGCACACACAGACACTGAGTTATAGTGGCGTCTTCTTCAGAAATCAATGACAAGTATGTGTGGGTATTGTTTCTGGACTCCTATCTGTTGCTTTGGACTTTTCCTTTATCCTGGGCCAATACCACATTGTTTTAATTACTGAAATCTTACATGAAGTCTTACAATTTGGTAGTGTTAAGTCCTCCAATTTTGTTGATTTTCTTTAAGATTATCTTGGCTGCCATAGGTTTTTTTTTTGTTTGTTTGTTTTGTTCTATTTTTTTGTGTTTTTTTTTTTTGTCTAAGTTATAATTTTCCACAATAATGTTAGAATTAGCTTGTTTCTATCAAAAAAATTGCTGGAAATTTTATTGGGATTGCGCTGAGTCTATAGATAAGTTTGGAAAGGACATCTTAAGTATTTTGAATCTTCTAATGCATGATGATGGTGTATCTATTTATTCTATTTATTTAATTCTTCTTTAATTTCTCTCAACAATATTTTAAAGTCTTTAGCATAAAAGACCTGCACATGTTTCACTTGATACATTCCTTGATTTTGATTTTTTTCAAAAATGTTTTTCAAATAACATTTCCATTTCCCCTAAATTGTTAAATTTATTGGTAAAGTTTTTTTTTCTATAAATTCTTATATTTTTAACAGTGTCTATAAAAACTAGAGTGATGATTTTTCTTTTTCTTATTTATTTATTTATTTATTTGGTAAGTCTGACTAGGGGTTAATAATTTTAATGAACCCTTCAAGAAACCACCTTTTGGCTTTGTTGATTTCCTCTTTCATAGATTAGCTTTCTAGTCAGTTGATTTTGTCTTCATTCTTTCCTTTACCTTTTTTAGGTTTATTTTTTTTTCTATATTTTTTAGATAAAATTTGAATTGTCAACCCTTCTTATTATATAAACTTAGTTATAAATTTCCCTTTAAGCATTACTGTAGTTGGATCCCCAATTTTTGACATGTCATATTTTTTATTATCAATTTAAAATATTATTTCTTTCCCTGGACAGTTTGCTCAGTGGTTAGAATATTTGCCCATGGACCAAAAGGTCATGGGTACATTTCCTGGCCAACGACACATACCTTAGTTAAAAGTTCTTCACTGGCCTGGGTGGAGCATGAGCAGGAAAGATGGATGTTTCTCTCTTTTCTCTCTTCCCTCCTTCTCTCCCCACTCCCTTCCACTCTCTCTAAAAAAATCAATGGGAAAAATATTCTTACTTCTTGGGTGAGGATTAATACGCGCGCGCGCACACACACACACACACACACACACACACACACACACACACACACACTAGGGGCCCAGAGCATGAATTTGTGCACCTTGAAAGGAACTGTGGGTCACAAGACTGCGGTGGGCACAGGGGTGGGTCTCAGCCCACCCTCCGTGCCCCTGCCCAACCCCCCTTCCTGCTGTAGCCCACGGTCTCTGCCACCGCCACTCCCACATGCTGACAGTGCCAAGTGATGCCGGCAGCAGGTGTGAGCGCCCGGTGGCTCCGTGGCACATGGGAGCAAAGAATTCTCAGTAACCACCAGAGGCTCACCCCGGTGACAGCGACCGGCGCCCCGCCTTGGTTTGGTGCCCCCGTTCACCTGCTGCGGCCAGTGCCCGCCATGTTCCACATACACTGACATGCTTCTGATTACTTGAATATAAGAATATAACTTGTACTTTCGATTTTTGTTACTCATGCTCTGCAGGTAAATGGATAGCTGAATCTTGGAATGACCTTTAGAAATAACAACTTGTTTAAAAGTGGACCAACGTATAAATAAAGTGGGCAGCTGTTACATCTTAGTTCCCAAAGAAAATTTACAAGGAAAAAACTTTTTATTTTGCAGCACTCAGTTTTAGAGAAAAGACTTCATCATTTTATATGTGACATGGACTTCTGGGCTCTTGACCTCTTCAAAGAATTTTTCTGTAATATGCTTCTCTGGAAAATGAATTTGCATTTTCTGGCTCTCCACACGCATGAGCTTCACTTCCAGGGGGCCCAAGTTTACATAATCCTGTGGTGAACAGATACAGAAAAGAATAGGAGAGGTTATTCAGCAAGCCACCAGCTTCGATAGATAAGGTTTCCTTTATCTGACTGGCTTCATTGCCCTCCCAATTGCTCAAGTGCTGTATAACATGTGGAATACGAGAGCTACTAAAAATAAAAACCACTCCATGAACTTCATACCCAGTGGCCATGGGAGGCCAGATCTCCCACAGTGCAGTCAGCAAGGCTTTCCTGGGCTTGGGTGGGGGCCCCAGCTAGGGTGGGAAGATATATCCCCCGCAAGCTCTTTCATTGGTAGAAGAAAATGTTGACTATGTACAGGCTATAACCACTGCAGAGTTTTCTATATTATTCAAGAACAAAGGGGAACGTCTGCATACATCACTTTGACTACTAATATTCTAACATTGAGCAGATTCTTTATGAATTTTGTGCCTTTCACAGGACCTTTGGCTACTGTATAAATAAAACTTAGCATATTCTGCCAAACTAACTATAGTTTATGATATCTACAAATGAAAAGTCTAATTTATATGAACTCACACAGCCATCCCCAAACTGGCTTGAAATAGCTCAGGCCCTACATAACATGCCTTCCTCTTGGGAGCCTTCCCAAGTCACAATGTGTTCTTTTGAATTCCTTCAACTCTTCAACAAAACTCCCCCGAGTTCCCACCAGATGCCAGGCTGTGTATCAAGTACTGGGGACAAAGATGAGCTCACAGACCGGCCAGAGAGACAGACACAGGTGGTACATGCCTCTTGCACAGTAATGAATGATTTTCTTATATGTCTGCTATTAGCATGTATGCTATTTGAAGGTCGTGCCTGCCAAAATGGCCTCATTGAGACTTCATTTCTTCCTGTTTACCTCCTGATTCCCAAGCATCTAACAAGTACCTGGGATATTGTGGGGTCCTCAATAAACATTTAATAGAATCTAGGATTATCAAAGAATGAAAAAGGAAAGCAATGTTTTATTACTCAAAAATGCATATAACTTTGTTTAGTGTTTAATATATATAAGAAATTTAGGAGAAAAGTTGGTAGATATCTATTTCAGAAATACCACCTATTTCAGAATTCTAATACACAGTGTTAGTCTGCTCAAGGTGTCATAAAAAAATACCACAGGCTAAGAGCCTTAAACAACAGAACTTCATTCTCCACAGTTCTGGAGGCTGGAATGTTCAAGAGCAGGGTGCCACATGATTGGGTTCTGGTGCAAGCTCTCTTTCTGGCTTGCGGATGGCTTCCTTCTTGCTGCATCCTCACAAGGTATAGCCTATTCTTTAAGGCCACAGTCTATCAAATTAGGGTCGGCCCCATCTTTATGAGCTCATTTAACCTTAATTATCTCCTAAGGACCCTATCTCCACATACAGTCCCATTGGGTGTTAGGGTTTCAATATATAATATGAAGGGCAAGAAGATACAATTCAGTTCATATCATAGAAAACATCATTTTCGCCATGTCAAAACTTCCATGGTAAGAAAGAAGGTACTTAATTCAACCAAATGGTAGCCCCAGTTTTGGAATTTTGTAGACAACTGTCCACTTGAGGTCATCGTACATATTAGGTGTCATGATTCTAAGATACTCATGATGGTGCTTGAATGCTATAGGGACCAGACCTTTAGTCTTTATTTTTATTTTCTTTTAAAAAATATTTTTTATTGTTGTTTTTTTTTTTTTTTTTTACAGAGAGGAAGGGAGAGGGATAGAGTTAGAAACATTGATCAGCGACCTCCTCCACACCTCCTACTGGGGATATGCCCTCAACCAAGGTGCATACTCTTGACTAGAATCGAACCTGGGACCCTTCAGTTCGCAGGCCAACGCTCTATCCACTGAGCCAAACCAGTCAGGGCCAGACCTTTAGTCTTTAAACAGTCACTTGACAGTAGCAGGACTGCATTGTAATTAGTTAAAATGAGTTTCGTTGACTTATTCAGTTTCTTCTGCTGTCTTATATCACTGTTTTTCCTGTAAGACTTGAAGTTCTAGAAGAACTTTTTAATTTATTGGTAGTGCCAAGAAGAAAAATAGCAAGAGGTCAATGTGGGAGTAAATGGAATGTACCAAAAAGTCTTTTTTTAAAAAAGGCTTGAATATTCTAGGTTTCATCCAATGGTATATAAGGCAGTTTGTCCTTTCCAAAGGTGTCCATACTAATGTATACCCTTATCCCAATGCTCTTCTGACAATGTGATGCCAACCTACTTCTTTCAAGATGTACGAGCTGTTTTCTTCACTTGGAACTTTATAACTACATCAACCAACAGGTTATGAGGAAGGGGGTGGTGTACGATTTCCAAGGCTACGTTGTGCAAAATTGCAGCTTTCATCTTAGTCTCTGGGATTGCTGTGTCTTGGAAAAGCCAGACAACAAAGAGACAATAAAAGTGCCCTGTAGAGAGGCCATGTGAAGAGGAATTGAGGCCCCCAACTTAGGTAGCATCAACCTGCAGCAGATGACTGCTGCCCCAGCCAACATATAACTGCAACTGCCTGAGAGTCCAACTGAGGACTGTCCAGTGGAGCCCTTCCTGAATTCCTAACTAACAGACGCCCTTAAAGAAAATAAATGATTATTGTTAAAAGCCACTCGATAATTTACATGGTACACTAGCAATAGAGGTCTATAAACAAATATAGGTAGCAAATTGAGCAAGGGTAGGGATAAAAATAGTATCCAAAGAAATGTGAATGGTGGGCAAATTTTATTAATAATTGCATATTTTAGATTAATTTTGTCCATTAATAAAACAGCATGATCCTAGTAGTCAAAATTATTTACTTAATCTTACCTTGAAATCCTTCTCATCCTCATAGAGTAAGTATTTTAAGTCAGAGGTCCCAAACTCTATGGATAAGCTCTCACTATCTGTGTTCACCTGCTGGTCAGATCTGATGATGTCTTCATGAATAATGGGTAAAGCTCCATTCTCAACTGATGAGCTCATTGTATCATTTCTTGTTTCTTCTATGGGTTCCAGTTTTGACTTTTCTGGGGTGAAGGAAAAGAAATTAATTACGTATATACTAGAGGCTCAGTGCACAAACTCGTGCATGGGTGGGGTCCCTCAGCCTGGCTGGTGATGGGCCAATCAGGGCATCTCACCCAGTTCTGATCAGGGTTGATTGGGGCTGGCTGGCTGAGGGAGTGGGGAAAGGTGTAGGGATTGTGGAAGGTTCCTTAGTCAGGGTGAGGGGCTGTGAGAGGTTGGCCAGCCAAGGGGAGGTTCCAATTGGGGTGATAGGGGGCAGCTGGCTGGGGGAAGGAGCTGCAGTAGGTTGGCTGTAGGAGCATACTGACCACCAGGGGGCAATTCCTATGTTAAGCATCTATCCCCTGTGGTCAGTGCACGTCATAGCGACGAGTGAACTGATTGTTCTAGTCATTCAGTCTTAATGGTCGCTTAGGCTTTTATATATAGAGATTTTGGACAGATAAAATTAAAATACAACACATACATTGTCACATTTTTTTAATTTGAAGGAACTTTGAGAATCTTTCAGAGGAGATAAATCTGAGAATTAGAAATGTGGAATCTATGTATTGAAGTGAGAGCGAGCCTAATTTTCAGAAACTCTATCTGAACTGTATTTCCTTCTATTGACTAAGTTACAGTCATCAAGGGGAGCTTTGTGTGTGTGGGTATTTTGGTTGGTTGGCTCAAGTAGAAACCACACCAAGGTAGAAAACATTGTCCATTTCCAACAGAATCTATTTAATTCCCTGTGAAACATGATGACTTTGACCTGAGAGTTGGACTAGAGAAAGGAGGTGGGTTAGGACAAGTGCTCCAAGAAGAAGAGGAATATGGAGAAGCTGGCAGTATCCATTCCCTGAGTAGTTCTTGGATATGAGGTGCCTGTCGATAATAGATGCTCACTAACTGTTCATTTAAAAAAAAACAAAACACCATTACAATAAAATAATCTATAATAATAAAAGCATAATATGCAAATCAACCAAAAGGCCAAACAGCAGAACAACTGTCTGGACAACCATGCTGACACCCACTGGTGCCAGGCCAGACAAGACGGGTGCTATGCAATTGGTCGGGGGCCTGGCCATCGCCCCATGATTACCCCTCAGAGCCCTGGCCAGGTGGGCAGGACCTTCCTCTGAGCAGGAGATCCATTTTGGAGCCCTACAATCGATCGCCTGTGCAGAGGGAGGCCCAGGTTACCTGGCAGCGGCTCTGCAGCAGGTAGCCTGGGCTCCCTCTCCATGGGAGATCTACTGCAGAGCACCGCTGGGTGGGCAGGGCCCACATCTGTGAGGCGATCAATAGCCGAAGGCCCAGGCTACCTGGCCAGTGGCACTGCGGCGGGTGGGCGGGGCCTCCCTCTGTAGGGCGATTGATCACTGGTCTCCTGGACTGTGACAGGGCGCAGACCGAACTGAGGGACCTTCCCCCCCCATACCCGCTCCCCCCTCCCCCCAATGCACAGTTTTGTGCACCAGGCCTCTAGTACCTGTATATGCTTCTGACAACTCCAAAGGCTTTTTTGCAGGTGTCACTTCCTGTCCAGCAGCTTGGGTAAGATATAGTTGCCTAAAAGAACAAATGAGAAAAGCAGTCTATCAGTGAACAGATACTGTGCTACCTGTTCACTGGTGTTCACTAGTGTTATCTCTCTTCCGAGTGCTAAGCAGACATAGATGAGAAGGAGACACGATTCCTACCCTTGAGGCATATAAGAGTAGCAGGCAGGCTTACAGTATCTAGAGTGATGGTCCGTGTGCCCTCACAGGTATTAGCATAGCATGGGGCAGAGGGAAGAAGCCTGGGTTTGCTCTGGGAGGTAAGGGCTGGCTTCCAGGAGGATATAAAACCTGACCTGTGTCCTGAAGAGCCAAGGGCTGTTTGCCAGGGAAGAGCCTGGGGTGAAGGAAGGGCATGTCACCATCAGGGAACAGCACACTTAAAGTCCCAGCAGTGAGAGCGAGCATGCCACCACCAAGACGCATGTAGCGATCCAGAAATGACAGTGGCCCCAGTGAGTTTTTAAATAAAGAGAAAGAGCAAGCACTAGGAATCCAATGACGTGCAGGTCTGGCCTTCACTGGGTGGCAGGTGGCGGCTGCCAGCCCCCTCGGGGAACGGTGCCTGCGGTTGCAGCTCTCTGTGCATGCACTGAACTCTGCCCCCGCTTCAGATTCCCACTGAACTCTCAGTCAGAAAATACACGCCCCAAAAGCTGAGCATGGCATTTCCATCAGGTTTGCCCGGAGACAGCAGAAAGCAATTGGGCCCTTGAAGATATGCGAACACCCTCTCACACTTAGCAGCTCAGCAACCAGAGTGAATCCCACGGTTTACCCTCTGCCAGTTATTTAAAGAACATGAATGAAGTGTTATTAGAAATGCTCAGGGCCCAGAAAATAAGGTAACTACATCCACTATTTCAATCTGTGAAACCTGCTGAAGACCTGACTTGGTAAAGGTTAGCTGTGTATGGAGTTCTGGTCTGTGGATGGACATGTCTGAGGACACAGAATTCTCTTCTCTTCTCTTCTCTTCTCTTCTCTTCTCTTCTCTTCTCTTCTCTTCTCTTCTCTTCTCTTCTCTTCTCTTCTCTTCTGGCTTTACTATTTTGAATAATTAAGGTCTTACTAAATGCCACCACCTTCATAAATCTGGTTCCTGTCTTACGTTAGTTTGTTGTCCACAGAAAGTATTTTACATAATGTCATTACATGAAGCCTGTGTCAGATTTATAGGCCTTAGTCCACTTAGCCTCAACCCTGTGGCACTTGAGTTCCTGGGCAGTCACCTCTGGCTGACATTCACCTCATCTAATGTCACAACAAACTCTAAATCTTCTATGTGAGTTGTGAAGCGAAAAAGTTGGGGGAGCTCAGGATGGGAAATGTAGCAACTCTATTAGCTAGAATGCCCCATTCTTCCAGATGAGAAAACAGAACTTTTTATGTGTCCACTGAGGACACTTAATGCCTGTGTCTCAGCACCCTCCTAGTGTGACATAGTCACACAGGACTAAATCCTCAGCAAAAGAGGCAAAAATGGCTGCTACTATAAAATATACAATATGTATTGTATTTCTCTGACTTGAAAATAGGGACAAAAACAGCTCCTGAAGATATTTTAAGTTTTCCTCTGGATAAAAAGTCTAACAGATCATTGTGGGTTTATATATTCCTTTGTGTCTTTATGGAGATTTCCCTAAAATGTCCTAAAAAAGTTGCCTTTAGTGCCCTAGCTGGTTTGGCTTGGTGAGTAGAGCATTGGCTTGCAGATTGAAGGGCTCGTGGTTTGATTCCGGTCAAAGGCATAGGCCCAGTTTGCAGGCTCAATCCCCAGTAGGGGGTGTGCAGGAGGCAACTGACCAATGATTCTCTCTCATCATTGATGTTTCTATCTCTCTCTCCTTCTCCCTTCCTCTCTAAAATCAATAAAAAATATATATTTTTAAAAGTTGCCTCAAGGAGTTTCCAATCTAGAGGAAGCAGACATAAGTAGGTGATCACCAGCGTGGTAAACGCTGGCACACAGGGCAGGTGCTAGCGCTATGGCAGTGTGCTGGGGCCCCCGACGCAGTTCTGGGAGCCGTCTCCCCATTGTCCCTTGCTCCTGCGGTAGATTTTGATTTAATTTCTCCCAACTCTGCAGCACGACTCATCTCACCTACCAAAGAAACCACCCCACAGAGCACTGGTGGACAATGTGGACTTTACTGGTGATTTTTTTTGGGTGGAGGGGGGCAGGGGAGGAGCAGGAGGGTAGAGACAGAGGATGGGGTAAAATTGCATGTGACACAGCAAACAACTTAATGAAGATCCCCATTGAACGTTTCTCATCTCCTTTCCTGTCCTTGCCGAAGCTTCTCTGGCCAATGACAGAATCCCCCTTTGTTCTAATTAGCACTTCACATTCTGATCAGCACCCAGTCGAGTACAGTGGGTGCAGCGACTGAGCTGATGGAAGCAGGAAGTGGGGTTGGCAGTCTATGGGGTAGCTCTTTTCTAAGGTTTGACGGGTTCAGGAAAGAGGACAGTGGGCAGCCACAACGCCAGCAAGTTTAGACACAATTAGAGGTGGGGCAGAAACTGTCCAGACTGAGGGGACAGTGAGGCACCCACCTCCTAAGGCCCTCAAGGAGTCCACCAATCAACCAGTTCATTCAGCTTGACTGCCTTCATCATCTGCAATGGTCTTTACCCTCCGGGGCGGCACACACTCATGGTGGGAGGGAGGAAGGTGGTCTCTTTCTCTGTCCTGCCCCATGCAGCTTCCCCTCTCCCCCACGAAGTCATTGCACTGTCTCCCAGTGTCTCCAATCTTGTATCCTGACACCTGTCCCTTAACACACCAAGCACAAACCCACAACTGATCCACATCCACCGTTCTTGAAGCACATAAAGAGGTTTGTAAACAACAAATACTTTGTTAGGACTCACACCACATTTCCCCAGGCCACACAAGCAACAGGAACTGCTTAAGTGGAAATGTTTTCCTGGCCCTTTCACTGTGTTGAACTTCTTTGCTTTCATTCCCAGACTCAGACACATCTCCCCCATCTTGCACATCCCTACATCTGTGTGATTTATTTCCTCTCTTTCCCTAAATATGCTACCACTTAGATTATATCTTGTTTCTGACTACTTGTCCGAGTTATAAATGCCTCTTTTGAGTTTTAATTCCATCATATTCCAGGGCCCTGTTTCTCCATCAAGACTGATCTATAAAAACTCCGTTGTCAGGTAAGAGAAAGATAAGCTAAGATGTTGAGCCATGGACACAGGTGGTTTCTCTTATGTAGGAGTTGACTCAACTTCGAATGCCAGGCTATTCTTTCTGTCTCAAAAGCAGTGGAGTCTCTCCTTAACTATCAAAGGAAACAATTCTATATTCTCCAAGGTAGCCAGAAGCCCAGAACACTTACAGGAAGATGCCACAAATGGATCGCTCTCTCCTTTGTGCTAACTCTGTACCTCGTGCACCTTCTGCTGCACTGCTTTGCATTGATTTTCCTGCCCCTACTCCCTGCTGAAGTTAGCAGTTCCTACACTCATGGGAGATGTTGGCTGCTAAGACCGCAGTGTATTGCTAGGAAAATCAAGTCAAAGTTTGCGCCGCACCAGTGGTCAACTGACATCATCATATGCCATTAGCACGGCCGTTTTGTGAATTCCTTTTTTTTTTTTTTTTTTTTTTTTGAAACTGTTACAGTCTGGCTGGAGCACTAAAAAATTAAATCATCATTAGAAAGAACTTGTACAGATACAGATGTTTACAAAATACTTTCTAGATACATCTCACCTGGGTATTTTGAGATCCACAAGTCTACAATCGAATAGTTGCTCAATGAGCTCCAAATTTTCTTCTTCCAGTTCCTGAATAGCTTTTTCCAATACATCAACTTCCTTCCTATGGACTGCAATCTGTTCTCGGCAGAGGAGAGAATGGGTGGTTGGTACTTATTTAGTTCTATTTAGTCTTCTATGAGAAATTCAACTCCTAAAAGTGCTTTTGCCTGAGAGGAAGAGCTATATAAGGTTAACTGCAACCTTATTAACAATACTGGAAAAAATGGTAAATTATGAAACTTTAAAAAAAAGTAGTACAGGCCTAGAGCCCTTTCTATCAGCCTCTATAGTACTTTTTCTTTTCTTTTATTGGTGGGGTTGTTCTGAGAAATATCAAGTAGATGAAATATTGTGCATTCATTTGTTCATTCATTCAATTGTATTGTATGTCTACTATGTGCCAAGAAACTATAGCGCACTTTGGGAAAAAGGATCTCAGCCTAGTGGGAAAGATGGTGATAAAATCAGAAAGGAGCGTGTTACAACCATTGGAAGCTGTCCAGGTGCCGAGGGAGGAGACGGAGGCTCAACCCATGTCTGACAGGTGTGGGGTTGGGGTGGGGGTGGTAAGGTGGAATTAACAGAAGAGATGACATCTAGTCTGGATCTTGAAGGCCATGTAGGGATTCCTGGGCAGAGAAGAGAGTGTGCATTCTAGGAAGAAGGAATCACAGATGTGGAGGCACAGTTATGTTGGTGTGACAGATACAGAGTGGGAGTTGGGAGAAGTAGGAGAGGAACTGGATAATGAAGGAAGAGGCACATAATGCTAGAGAGTCTGGCTTTTGTCTTGCAGGTGATGGGAGGTCTTTGATAAACGTAGCAGGTTTAAATAACAGTAAGGAGTATGGCTAACTCAAATATGAACAAGATTCACTGGTTACCTGGATCCGTTCTTATGTGTATTTTGGTAACTTCTGTCTAAAGAAGGCTTAATAGTGGGAAGAATATATATATATATCCGAAATCGGTTTGGCTCAGTGGATAGAGCGTTGGCCTGCGGACTGAAAGGTCCCAGGTTCGATTCCGGTCAATGGCATGTACATTGGTCGGGCACATCACCGGTTGGGGTTGTGCAGGAGGCAGCTAGCTGGTTGATTTATCTCTCTCATCGATGTTTCTAGCTCTCTATCCCTCTCCCTTTCTCTTTGTGAAAAAAATCAATACTATATATATATATATATATATATATTTTTTTTTTTTTTAAAACCTCATGATAGAATCCTCAACTTACCCCTCTCTCTCTGAAAACTGGAAAAAGCAATGTGTCTTGAGGAAATAGGAGACAAGAAAAGCAAAGGGATTTAGATTCAGTAATTCTTATTAGTAGTGTAACTGAGATGATTATTGAGAAAGAAATGACTTTTTATGTTTATAACTGAGATTTAATTATTGTATTTTAGAATCTGGAGGTATTTGGTGTATTGCCACATGTATACCTCTATCACATAAGTAATTTATGAAATGCTTGGATTCTTACTATGGTAAGGTCCTTACGATGGCTGGATGCAGAGGATACAAAAGTGAATTAGGCATGGCTCCTCCTCTCAAGAGTCTACAATCCAGGGTACAAATATGCAAATAAGGAGAATAATAAAACAATACGAGTATCTTAGTAATGGCTCAAATATTGCTGGGGCTAGGAGTTAAAAAGTGGAGAATGTATTATCCATCTGCCTTAAAACAATTTAGCAAAACCATTAAGTCCATAATTCTAAATTACAAAACTCCGGGGTTAATGCTTAGAGAGAATCAGCTTGATTACAAACTTGAATGCCTTAAGAGAAAGTTTATAAATTTTAAAAGTCAAAGGATGAGGGGAAAATTATGGATTTATAAACAGAAGGAATTAATAGAACATTTGGAAATGTTTGACCTAAGGGCTTGGCATGCTCGGGAGGCAGCACACACAGTTCTTGGTCTCTTTCCAAAGCTGGGAATGAGGGCCCTTTTGGGGAGCGAAGTCCAGCCTTTCAGACTAAGGATATCCTGTGACATCACCTATTCCCGTAGAGTTCTTTGTAAGTTGTTATCTCCTTCCCAGCCTTTTGAAATGTTGGGGAAATGAAAACGAGTTCCTTTTATGGCCAAGAAAATGCCTTTAGATTTCTGGACTAAAAAAGTGAAAGTGGGGAGAAAAAGGCCATCGGTCCGCCCTGGCCCTGCTCTTCCCCAAACACCCAACAAATGTACTTAGGAAGTCAGGATGGATAATTTAGCTACAACTCACTAGTTAATAATTTAATCAGGGACCTAGGATCCTAAATAAAATACATGCTCTTGAAAATTTCCCCTGCAAAATCTGAGTTCACTTTACACTTCTAGTACTTGGCACTCTGATTGCTAACCGGTTTGGATTCTTTTGCCTAGTTTTCCTGGATTTCCATTTAACTTAGTCTAAGTTATTCAGAAATTTCAATTTTCTTCATTTTCCTAATGAGCAGGCTAACTAAAACCAGGTAATGAAAGCCATACAACAGGATGTCTCCTATCTGTCCCAGAGATCTACATTTTTGGTTATTGCTCAGAGAGAGTTAAATGGAGCAATATTTTTAGGAGGCCCATTTGTTAAATGTCCTTGTTACTCATTCAAAACCTTCCTCAAATAAATTAATTCCTCCAAAGAAGTAATTAATTAGAACACATACATTGTTCTGTATCCAGGCAGTTTTCAATTCTTGTAATAGTACTTATAACCAGAAATGGTTTCAATTAATGTTGTGAATAAATTTAATAATGCTAAAATGAATATTTATTGAAATAAAGATAAATTAAATCTATTGAATTTCCTTAAAATGATTTGTCCTTTATTACTAAGCTCTTTTTGCTCATGATTCAATTAAACTTGCATTTTTCCTGTTTTTTATTTCCACTGAATTATGAGAAGTAAAAAATACAACAAAATGAAATGTTGTTTATGGTTTTGGTAAAAAGAATCAAGGCACCAAAACACCTCAAATATAAATATTTATAATCATCTTCTCTAAACCTAATATCCATGACATCTCATAAAATATAAATTTGCACTATTAAATTATTATCATTGGGCTCTTACTGTTTATTTAATAAATCTCTCCCTAATATTTTTTAACTTTTGAGCTCACCTTCAGTCTTTTAAATTAATAATTTAAAAAAGATGAAAATTGTTTAATCATTTTAGAGCATCAAAATACAACATAAGATTGGTATTTTGGTGTCAGAGAGCAATAATTATACTGTATGCATTTTAATGTTTTACGTCATTTACTTTAAGTTGGTGGTGAATTTAAAAACTGAGTTTTAATCGAGTTATTTTCAAACACTGTTGTGATATTGCTTTGAAGAGTCATAGCAGTGGTCCCAGAATTGTTTCTCTCCTCCTCCTCTTGCTCTCTCTCCCTTGCTGAATCACCGTCTTTCAGAAGCAGGAGTTTATCTTTATTCTGAGCTTCCAATGACTGCTGATGCACTTTCTGCTCTCCACTAAAGCACTTGTTAGAGTGAAGCCAGGATCCCTCTGGTTTTCTTGAAATACATTTGGATACTTTCTATTCTGTTCCAGGGGGTTTCTGTGTTAGCTCCTTTGTTTGAGCTTTTTCTTCCTTTTCTATTGCTGCTTTTCTAAATTTGTTGAAATCCTCATTTGAGGATTTCAATACACCTGAAGTTTTGACTGGTTTGCCTAAACTTTCTCAAGAGTCTGCATTCGCCGAAACCAGTTTGGCTCAGTGGTAGAGCGTTGGTCTGCGGACTGAAAGGTCCCAGATTCGATTCCAGTCAGGGGCATGTACATTGGTTGTGGGCACATCCCCGGTAGGGGTTGTGCAAGAGGCAGCTGGTCGATGTTTCTCTCTCATTGACGTTTCTAGCTCTCTGTCTCTCTCCTTTCCTCTAAAAAATCAATAAAATATATAAAAAAAAAAAAAAAAGAGTCTTCATTCTTGATTTTCATATCCTTTTGCACAGGAACTTGACAGTTAGATTCTAAGACCTGTGTCCCCATGGACTGCTGCATCACAGTTAGGCCATTCAAGCGTTGTTCAGAATCACCTGTGGAGGTAGGGTTTGTGAAGGTGAGATGTTTCTCACACTCTGTAAAAGTTCCCATTCTTGATGCTTACCTGCTAACTAGTGGTGATTTGGTGGTGTGCCATTGAAAGTGTAGTCTGATGAACAGGGAGAGTAGAACAAGAGATCCTGCAAAAAGATTGTATCTTTGCTTTCTGTTTAAAAGAAGCATCATTTCTGTTTTGCTCCAGTAATTTTAAGTGACTCTTCTGATTCGGAATCACTGCTGTCTGAAGAACTTGGATCTCTTCTCTCTCTCAATGGGAACCACTTCCAACGGCCTTGGAGGATTGAGTGCTCTCGGAGTTTGTTTTATGTTTTCTGGAATTTAGCTGATTATTGACATCCAGTAACCGCTTTTTTTAACTCCTATTTGTTTTTCTGTGAAGAAAGTTCTTCTTTAGTCTTTTATTATTATTATCACTATTATTTTTGGTTTAACAAAGTATTAGCATTTATTTTCTTAAAATTTATCTTCATTGTTGAAATATTACCGGTATTCCCCTTTCGCCCTATTGAATCCCCCTGCCCTTTTCCCACCTCCCCGCCAAGCTGCATTATTTTTTTACCATGAGGTTTTACTGGTTTTTTTTATTAGACACAGCAGCATAGTTTTTTAGTTCTCTCTTGTTGTTGCTTGCAGTGTATCAGTCACACTCTGTCTCATCAGGGTTGGCATTTCTCAGTGAAGGCTTTCTGCCCCAAGTTTATCTCCAGGGAGTTTGTTTACATCCAAACTTAACCGCCTCTTCTCATCATAGCTCACAGGCTTAGCATTATCTTCATCCTCAGATTGCGGAGCCAAGACCTGCTGTTTCCTCTTTGGCTGATTGCTCTTGGACTCTTCCTCCAGTTTCATCTCTGCTATTAACCCTTTCTTTCCCCTTCTAGTCGCCTCGTTCTTCTTCCTTAGTGTACGGAAGGTCCCTGGGCCTCACTCTTATTTCTAAGTGTATGTAAGAGTACTTGTAGTTGTTGATCAAGAGCTTTAAGCTGCTCCTGAAGCTTTGCAAAGCGCTGACCTCATGCCTCCGCAGAACCACCAGAGACATCCTCAGAGGAAGCTTTACTCTGCTTTCTCTTTCAAGGGGTTTGTGGTATCAGTTTTGATACAGACATACACTCAACAGGTTCATCTGGGATCTTTGCAAAATGCATTTCAAAAAAATCCTGGAGCATTCTTGCCATTGTCACGATGTCATGATCTGGAGGATTGTATTCGCAGCAATCCACGGACATTAATCTAACATCTGCAGCAAATTCCCGTGCATCTTTATATTCTTCGTTGCCCACTCTTCTCTTGGTAGTTCCAAGATCCTTTGGGGTTTTTACATCATAATAGTTATGGAGTTCCAACGCATAACCTCCCATTGCATTATAAAAGGGCCATGCATATATGAAAAGTGTTTCTTTGCAAGCATTTCTTTAAGAATCTCACCACAGTGCCTTAATCACTCTGTTCCTTGAACAGTTGTCACAACTTCATATTGTTGCTGAGAATCTGGCAAAACATTCTTCAGCACAGTTTCTTTTACAGTTGGTTTTGCAGATTTTTTGGCTCCATAAGTGCTGGGGAACATTCACCTCTTCAACTACGGAAGTTGTGGAGTTTTATCTGCTTTCCTCTTCACAATCCTCGTAACCTGAGCCACTGTTTGTGAGGTCGAGTTGGTGGGTCACCGCGTGCTCTATTTGAAGGAGAAATAAATGTTTCAGGAACTACAAAGTGACTCACTCACTTACTGCTTAAATACATTTCTGATGCTTTAGGGGACTTTTTCTTTAACAGGAGAATCTGCTCACAATCTGTTGAGTGGTTTTCTTTATTGTTTCCTTACCACCCACCACTTGTTCTTCTCCAGTGTTTGTGCTGTAATAGCAATGTCATCTCCAAACTTGTGGTATAAGCAGCAATTTAAGAACATTGTGTGGAAGTCTATACATTCCGAAGCCGGCTCATAATGACACTCCAAGCATTTCTCGAGTGTACTTAAATCCCTTGGTTTTTTTTTAGGATGGTAAAATAATCAGGCACATTTAGTTTCATGGCATCCACAGGCTGCTGAAAAGGCCAAGAAAAACTATGCTTCCCTAAAGCCTCTGAGATAACCTTCTGTAAATACCGCAGTTGACTTGTCCATTCCCGTTTCTCGTGGTATTTATAGACTCTGGTGGTGCGGGTCAAGGAGAGCTGTTTCTACTTGGCAGAAACAGTCCTAGCTGCTTCATTTCCTGTGATTCTAATGTCTGCCAGTACATGCATGTCCTCTTCCTACACAAGTACTAACCCCTGTTTCGTTACATATGCGGTAGTTGTGGGTCATTGCAGTTGCTGCCATCTTTCACAGTCTTTCTCCCTGCCTTTCTGAGCCATACATGGAGGTCCCAGCAGGAAAAGCCTGTAAGTTCCTCTTGGGAAAAGGGCCTGGTCTGATTGTCCCTTTCAGCGGCACAAGATGAAGTGGTGCAGGGCCGAGATTCTTCCATCGCCGCCCACTCTTGCCCTATTGGTGGCTCAACTTAATACCTATTTTTTTTTTTTTTTTAACTGGGGATTCATCTTGCTTAGCTTTTGGAAATAGTGTGGGACCATGATTTTATAAAGGCAATTTAAAAAGAAGTGTCAACATCACAAAAAGCATATTAATTTTTAAGTCCCTTGTTTTCTAGACTCGCTAACTCTATTCGGTCAAATGGGAAGCTAGAAAAAGGGGAGGGGAGAGAAGCTGATAGTGACATTTTCACCTCAGATGTCTGAGCAGTTGGTGCAAAAGGAAATGCAAGAAGAGAAAATTTAAGGGGAAATTTAATGAGTTCTACCTTGGCTATGTGGAGTTTGAAGTGCTTTTGTGACAACCAAGTGGGACTGTTTGGAAGCAAATTAAAATATAGGTCCAGAGCTAAGGACACACAAAAGTTAGTGCTGAAGATGTACCTTTGAGAATCACATACAAATAACTTGTTAACAAGAGCCATGTGTAGTTGAAGTGAATTTTCTCAAATGATAGTGAGTTCCCTTTCACAGATGGCATCTAAGCATAGGTTTGCTGGCTACTTGTCTGGGCATAAAGGGAATTTCAACCTCTGTAGCACTCTTACAACATTTAGACCAAAGATTATGTGCTTGTTTCATCCAACATCATGCTCTCACATATTCACTCAAAATTTAAGCCATATATTTGATTCATTCTTCCAATTAATATATCTATATCCAGGGAATTCTTTCATTCAATAACTATTTAATGAGATTATTTATTAGGTGTCAGAGATAGACAGTGGAAAAGTCATAGCCTGCTCTGTGAAGAGACAGATGCATTAACAGATAATTTCAACATATTTTATAAAAGCAAGTTACAGCGAAACAAGAGAGCACTGGGGGGAAAGCACTTAAGACTTCCAGGGAGAGTTACAAAATGATTCACAAAACAAGGGGCAATCAAGTGCCTACAGAAAGAGCTGGAATTTTCCAGGCAAACGGGGGCAAGGAGTAAGGGCAGAGGGACCGGTAAGTGCAGGGCAAGGAGAACAGAAGTAACCCATAATAGGGGTCTAGATTGAGAAGGTCTAGCGGTCCTCCCATGATCACCCCCAGCAAGGGCTAGAGTGAGAGCCTAGGTACAGGGAGACTGATGGACAGCTGGGCTGCTGGTTCCCACAGGCTCTGCAGGAAGACCACCAGGCTGGGATGGGATAGAGAGACTTCAGCGGGCAGGGACATCTTGACCTTGGGCAAATGGGTGTAACTGTGGGTCTAGTGTCGCCTGCATCTGAATGTCCAGAAGGCCAGAGCAGTCATTTTAGAAGTCAGCAGGGCGGGAAGCAGACTAACACACTCCCACACAGCAGAAAGGCAGAGGGAGCAAGGATCCCAAGGAGACCCCATAGATCTTTTTACTAACACTCCCTACAAGAGGGCAGGTAAGCCCCACTCCCTATACATCAAAGGTTCATCTTAGAGAAGAGCAAGGGGAGGAAAGAACAATGAACATTTATTGGAAGGAGACCATGCTATCCCCCAAAGGCAATTGACAGCAGCAGACAATGAGGTCGGAATGATCCTTTGGCCTTGCCTGGTCCCCCTGAAGGAAGTGGGGTCCTGAGGAAGACCAGATCAGTTTGAAGGCATAAAGCAGCTTTGTACATTTGGGTATATTTTGTGAATTGTGACGCCAAAAGTGACTTCTGGTTATTCTTGAAATTATTGATGGCGTTTGTTGAGTAACAGCTTGTAATAAGATTAAGACTCCACTTGAATTTTATTTTACCTCCGTCAGTGACAGTTCCGTGCTTTTCCCAGGACTTAAGCTCATAAATAAAAGTGATTTCCAGTTCAAAGAACTGAGAAAAAGACATTGTTTTTAACAATGCCACTCACCTCTTTTTTTAGCCAGTCGTTTTCCCAGATCTCCCGGTAGCTGCCCTTGTCGATGAACCTCACCGTATTCTGAAAGACAGTTTCTCGCTAAGGACGAGTCATGTGGCGGTTCACAAGTTTAGCACTGACGATGCAAATCAACTTACCTGGGCGTTCCTTTTCAGTTCTGTTTTGCAAATACTTTGGAAACACACATGGGAACTTTTAGTTCCGCTCTTCTGGCTTTGCTATCCCAATGCATCGTTTTTACTGGTTTACACTGCCCAAAACAGGCAACTGAGAGAACTGGACAAGGCTGTCTATATTCAATTTAGCCCTGCTGTGACCCAGTCTGACTGCCATGGAGAAATCAAATCACTAATCATCTGCTCCACAACTAAGAAGCCTAAGCTGAACTGACTAAACATCCTTCAAATTGATCAAACACATGACCGACCTATAGTAAAAGCACGAGTAATTACATTGCTACCTTTCTAATCAAAGGTTTCTGTGCGTCAGTAATAACAGTAGTACATATTGACAAACCTAACAGCAAATAGTTTCAGGGCGACAGGCTACAGCTAAACAGTCTCCTATAAAAAGGCATTTTAAGTAAGAAAATAGGAATAGCCTTACTTAGTCAGTAGGTTCATAAAATGTAAATTCTATTTACATTTTTATTTATTTTTTATTATTTATAAGTTTTTAATTACTTAGATATTTACCATTTCACTCAAAGGAACTTTGTAGTGGATGACGGATCCTATCTATCCCTAGAGTACCTTTTTTTTGTTTGTTTTTTAAATATATTTTATTGATTTTTTACAGAGAGGAAGAGAGAGAGATAGAGAGCTAGAAACGTCGATGAGAGAGAAACATCAACCAGCTGCCTCTTGCACACCCCCTACCGGGGATGTGCCCGCAACCAAGGCACATGCCCTTGACCGGAATTGAACCCGAGACCTTTCAGTCCGCAGACCGATGCTCTACCACTGAGCCAAACCAGCTTCAGCCCTAGAGTACTTTTATTTATTTTTTTATCATTATATTTTTTTTAAATAAATCTTTATTGCCTAGAGTACTTCTATATGGGTACCATGTGACAAATTTAATCATCAGTCACTGAAGGACATAACCAAAAGAAGACAAATTAGGGAAAATCTTCAAGATCATAAACATGGGCAGAAATAAGTTTAAAATAGGTTAAGGGTAAATTTATCTCTTAGAGTTGGAAGATTTGCAATCATTTTTTTTTTCTTTAAACCAGGCTAATTGAACTAAGAGTGGACCTACATTTCTTAGGAAATAGAAACCTTTATACCCCTGCTACAACCTCTACTTCTCAAATTTTCTCAAACACAGAATTTCATCTGGATAAAAGCAGGTAGTAATTTATAACTGAAGTTATTTGGTTAATGGCTTACTTCACTAACAATGGCGCAGTGGTTTTCAGCTTTGACCACGCATTAGAATCTCCCAAACACTTTGGAAAATCCAGGAGCCCTGGCAACATCCCAGGCCAATTATATGAGCATCTTTAAGTGGGATTCAGGCACCATGTGGGTTAAACAAATTTCTCAGGTGATTGCAATATGCAGTCAAGGATGTACAACAATGGATTATAGGAAATTAAACTATGTGCTAAAATAGCCAGGTTGGATGAGGCAAACTCATTCACGTGTGAGGGTGTTAGGTTATGCAGAGAGAAGAAAATGTGTGTGATGATGAAGAGCAATGATCTGAAGGAGAGAGGAATCTTGAGTCTGCCATGTGCTCTGGGTAAGTCATAAAATTTCTCTATGCCTTGGGCTTTTCATTAGCAGGTTCCTACTTTATAGAATTGTTGAGAGACTTAGATGTAAAATGTGAGGAACAGTAAACCAGTCCTCATTATATATTGATGATTAAATTTACATCTGATCTGCATATACCTTTTAATCATCTTCACTATGATCAGATCACCAAATTGTTGATTTCACCATTTTGTCATAGTCAGTCAAAGTGGCCCATCTGTATGGGCAGACAAACCATTGGTCAGTTTCATAATCCTCTTTTTGTGTAAATCAGTAAAAATCACACAATAGGATAACAACAGTAAAAGCACAATTGAACCAACAGGAAAGCAGCAAACAGTTGCAACTGAAATTCAGTGAAGAACTTTAGAAAAGACCAGGCATTTATGATTCTGAAGAAGGAATATTCCAGATGAAGAGACAATCCCAGTGGGGACCTCACTGATTTAGGAGGTTTTCTGGGGACAGTGAGGGGAAAAAAGGACAGTGAGGGGGGAAAAAAAAGAGAGAGAGATTTTTGCAAAACAAAGAAATTAAAAAACATATAAGATTAGAATATACATCTCAAATATTTTTTATATCCCATATCTTTAAAGCTCCAGGAATATAAAATATGCTCTTTTAGGTTTGGATATGTAAGAAATTACTTTTTAAACAAATTATATTTCATTCTGTAATTCATCCACAACTTTATTTAATAACTTATTGTAGCCATTATTACTATACTTTAAAAATAAATGAATAATAATTTACTAAGTTCTTGATTCTAAAAATATTTGAGATATAATTTCTAATCTTACATGTTTTCAAATTTCTATTTAAATATCTTATTCAATCCTTATTCTTTAAAGGTAAATATTATTATTATCCCCTTTTTATAGATTTGGAAACTAAAGCCCAGAAAAGTCAAGTAACAAATTCAGTTTATACACCAAATAAGTGATAAAACTGTAATTCAAATTCAAACTGCCTAACTTAAGACCTCAAGTTATTAACTCTTATAATACTAGAGGCCTGGTGCATGAATTCATGTACAGAGGGGGGTCCAGCTAGGCCAGTGGTGGGGAGGGGCTGTGGGCAGTTGGCTCTGCCTTTTGGTCAAACTCCCAGTCAAATTCCAGGTGGAGGGAACAATTTGCATATTAGCCTTTTATTATTGAGGATACTACAAGAAAAAAAGGGGGGGGAAGTTGTGTATTTCTTAAAATAAGAAAATGGAAGTATACCTCTGTGGCCCACTCCTTCTTTTGGTCCAGTTGCAACAAAGTGTCTCTGATTATTCTTTTTCTAGCATCTTCTAGAGTGATTTTATACTGTTCTTTAAAAAGAAAATTAGAAGGCTTAACAAGGTTGATTCTAGATAATGCCATGATGTTAGTAAATTTTATCTTCTGTGATCTTCACCTCTCCTTTCAATACCTTTTACTCTCTGAATTTTCAGGGTACATACATCTAGATAAATGAAGCATCTAGAACCTTCAGTTAGCAGAAATGCTCCAATAATTTATTAGCATCTTAATGTGAGTTAAGATGACATCTCACCCAGGAACATTTGTATTTTTAAAGGATTGTCTCTCCAAAAGGAGAGCTTCCAATACTTGAGTCCTTGTGTGTCCATCTACCCTTTATATCACACAACTTCATGTCACACAACTCCCTATCAACAACTTCTGATTCCACAACAGAAATATAAGGGAGGTTTGATTATCCACCTGAGTAGCATCCTGTACCTCTGACTTCACCTAATTACATTTTCAATATTCTTGGCGTGCGTTTCCTGGGACAGGTAGGACAAAATGAGGGGGGGTGGGGGGCGGCGAGAATGGCAGAAGAGCTGTGAAAGCCAGTGGACCTGGCTCTGAGTTAGGCTCAGAGGAAGAGAGAGGACAGAGAAGAAGTGCAGATTCTCTACACTCTTTGGACTTTCTTAGGTCATACAGGTCAGAATTGTTAGGCATTGAGAGTTGCTTAGAGGTCATATAATCAGCACCCCTGTTCAAGAAAAGTGAGGCGCGGTGACAGGTTGGAGAGAAGTAAAGCTAGATAAATCAGTCCCGTTTGTTCACTGTTTTAAACAATAAATCATCGCCAGCCTTTTTTGATGTCCGTGACACTATTTAAGGCACAGATAGTATTGCCAAATAAGAGACAAAACCCCTGCCTTTAAGACACGTACATTCTGGTGGGGAAGCCAGACCAGAAATATGTAAACAAGCAAATAAACATTTCGGGTGGAGATGTGTGTGATGAAGAAAAACTAAAAGTCTCTATTTTAGTTACAGTGATCAGAGAATACTTTTTTAGGAGGTAACGTTTGAGCAAAGATTGACTGAAGTGAGGGAGTCACCCTTTTACAACAGGAGGGAACTGGACTGCTCCAAACCAGAGAACAATCGGGTTAGTTTTGTTTTATGATAACATCTATGTTGTATTTATCAGACCTGAAGGATAATTATTGGGAAGTCGGAAAGTATTTTCCCATAAAAATGATGTTGACAATTAAGGTTGCTGGCTTTCTGGGCTGGTCCACAGAGATCCATTTAGTCACAGGATTCCATCACTGAACAACAGTGGTGTGGAGCCTCACTGCCCTTCAGGACATGGTTTCAAAGGGAAAGTGTTCTCCACAGACCCAGTGGGCTGAGAACTCCCAGGGGTCTGCCTTGCAGGGGGATGTCTGCAGGTCTGCTCTTTCAGTCGTTTGGAGAGAGGGGCTGGGCCGGTGTTATTCAGCCTCATCTGGACTTGGTACCAGCAGAGCAGCCTCTCCTAACAGAGGAAAACGCTGGAGGCAGAGTGTAAACACTTTTCTCCCACAGTCCCCGGGATTTCTATTACTGCAGTCCCCGGGACACTACAGATATTAAAAATGCTTTTAAGAAAAAAAATCAGACAAACTGCCCGTCTTTGGCAGGCAGTGATCTGAGGCTGCAGCGCAGTGACCAGTGCTCGCTTTGGTGGGAAGGGAGGGGTGTCAGCAGGGAGGAGGGGAGAGCTCCCCAGCTGTGGAGGGGCCAGGAGTGGGGCCGGAATGGTCAGGGTCTGCCTCTAATGGAATTGGAACAAGAGTGTCTGACGAGGCAGCGGTTTATAAACAAGAGGGTTCGTAAGATTTGGGGGACTAGTCTAATTTGACATCTGGCAGGTGAGGAATGGAAGTCTTCATTCTTCCAGCTTACAGGTGCTCGTCGCTATAACCTGTATTTTTTTTTTTTTTTTTTTTTTTACTTATTTGAAGTAATTGCTTGAGTATATTAACCGTTCCAACCTCATTTCTGATGGAATTTCTTTTTCAATTCAGGACGTAGTCCATTAGACTAATTCTGGGTGCTTCTGAAACTTCTACCCAATAAAACACATCAGTCTAAAAGTTGCCATGTATCAGGAGGCTAGCCACAATAATTTTAGATTCTGGGCATTTAAAAGATACCATACAACCTGGAGCTTGTTAAAATGAAATAGTAATTCTTTGCTGTAAATAATAATAATAATTAAAAAAAAATAGATGGCGGAATATTCTCTGACTAAAGTTGTAGCTCTCTCTATTGCCATATTTGTACTGAAAAAGCAGAAAGAGCACACAAACTCTGTTTCAAATTTTGTATAAAATTGTGTGGGCTGTTTTTCTTCTCAAAAGCAGAGTAACTCGGCACAAGGGAGGATGTGAAACCTCGTCGTCGTTACCCTTTGCGATTCAGAGGATCAGATAACAGCTATTAACTATTCATGTGTGAACACAGCCAAAGGGGCTGGGGGCGTGTGGAAGTCTCCTGGTAAAAGTGGGAGACATTGCCAGTGGGAGCTGGGGAGCCTGTGACCTTGTGCCTCCGGGCTGCTGGCTGCTCAGGAGCCCAGTGTGATGTGGTCGCTTCCCACACGCTGCCTGCCTGGCCGGAGCCGCTTTGCATTTCCTCCTTTCTCTGTTGTGTCTAGCTCAGCTTCGGTTGCCTCCCCCACAGCTTTTTGGGAGTTGGCTGTCTGCTCTTCACAGGCGTCTGGTGTCCTGGCGCTTTAATGGGCTGATCCTCCCCTGTCCCCATCTGGAGGAAGCTGAGCAGCCCCAGCCGTGGAGCGCGGAGCATGGAGCATGGAGCGTGGAGCGTTTCTTCGGGCGCAGTGTGTTGTTACAGCGCCGTGCCCCCTCCCTGCCTCCATCCCTGCGCCGGGAGGACTCTCTGAAGCATGTTGGCTTGGTGTCAAATCTCATTTCCACCTCTTACTGAGCTTGTGAGTTTGGGTAAGACGATGAGCTGCTCTGGGCGCCTCTTTCCTCATCTTTAAACTGGCACAGTGACACCTCACCCAGAGGATCCTGTGAGGGCCCGATGCGATAAGGGGCAGAAAAGCAGGTGCTGGGCGTCTGAGTTCTCTTGGAGGTCACTGAGGGACTCTCAGGTTACAGATGAGGAAACTGACATTCAAAGGAGGAATGTTACCTTTTTTTGTAAGTGGGCCTCAACCCTCGTCTTTAATCTCACAAAAGGACTTTTATGGCTCCCTGTCGGGTACACCTGGGAGGACGAAAGTCAAAATGATCTGTGACTCCAACAGCTAATGACCGGTAATAACCCACACCTGCTCTATTCCTGGGCCTATCTCGGCTTTCCTTTCCTTTTATTGTGAGAAGGAGTCATGTCCCGCATAATCAGTCACTGTGTTTCCTTACCAATATCCTAACGTCTCCTAGCTCAAGTCCAGGGCGGCAGCTCCAGGTGCTTCTCCTCCTGCCCCAAGGCTCAGGGCTGCTGAATGAGGCAGGGTGGGACAGCGGACCAAGGACGGTCTGTGCTGGGTCCGATCAGTGACCCACAAGGAGGCATGAGCAAAGGCATGAACATGATTAGGTCAGTGATCACACCCTCACTCTTCAGAGCCTGGGATGGAGAATACTCAAAATTGGCCTGTGGGAAGCAAGGGGAGGACGGGACAAGACACAGAGCACAGCGGAGGTGCCCTGAGAGGGAGTCACAGGCCGAGAGGTAAATTAGGGAGGAGCCATCCTACGGCCACCACTGATCCGATGGCCTTCTCTTTCCATCTTCAGTCCTCCCGTTCCTCACTATAGTGTTATGTCCAACACACATGATCACGGGACATCAAGCAACCTGATTTTCATCTCTTCCCTTTAAAATTCATGCTTGGAGGCTAGTACCTCTGTAAGATATGATACAGAAAACCGAGAAGAACCAAGCAATACTTAGAATCTTAGAGAAATGGAGTTACATTTATTATGCGCAGGCCCAGAGAAAAATGTCTCTCAAATTCTGGACCTCAACATCGAGAAACTTTTCCTATTTATATGTTCTTACCTTCTTTGTCCCCCAAATATGGGGTGTTTCTGGCCTCCTTTGCAAATTCTCAAAGAGCCCCTATGTCTTAAGATCTCAACCAAAGGCCTGGCCTGGTGCCAGCACTGATAACTTCGTTCAGGGAAAGTTTAATGGCCTCTCTGAAGTGGGAGTAGTCTTATTTTCCTATTATTTAAGCAAGCAAGCATTTACAGAAGCCAGATAGCAGGGTTAAAATTTCAAACAGCAGTTTTTATATAAGAGAGATGCTTCAGATACATGGCAAATCCTATAACTTTTCTGGTTCCTTTGTGAAAATAAGAGGTCCTTCAAGCACTAATCAATGTGTCCAGTTGTCTGTCTGTCTGTCTTTCTTTCTTTCTTTCTTTCTTTTTTTCTTTCTTTCTTTCTTTCTTTCTTTCTTTCTTTCTTTCTTTCTTTCTTTCTTTCTTTCTTTCTTTTTCTTTCTTTCTTTCTTTTTTTATAATAAACTTCCAATTGCATTCAGAGTTATGGCTATTCCCTCCTTAGCTACCATTTCCTCTGACTTGAACCCTGTAGCTCCTCCCTCAGGGCTGTCAGGAGCATGGCAAGGGGCAGGAGAGCTCTCACTTGACACCTCAAGACAATGGAAATTTTTAGCTGAAACAAATCATCCAAATGTCTAATCAAGACAGTAGTTGATGGACAGGTAATAGTGTGGTGAAGGAATAGGGGAGGGGCGGTGGAAAGGAGCCAATGGGAAAAAGAAAGGGGACATCTGTAATACTTTCAACAATAAAGATAAATTTTTAAAAAGAGTTTAGTTTCTATGAGAAAATCACTCTTTCTGCTTTAAAAATATAAAGAAATACTGGATAAAATTTTAAAACATTTTAAACATGCTAGAAAAATAACTATTTTAGAAGTATGGCACTGGTGCACAAATACATAGACAAATCAATGGAACAGAATAGAAAGTATAGAAAGATCTCCAAATACACATGGGAAATTAAAATACAATGAAGTTGGCATCTCAGATCAGTAGGGTAAAAATGGATTATTTGATAAATGATGTTGGGACAACTGGAAAATCATCTGGCAAAAAATAAAATTGGTTTCCTACCTCACACACACACACACACACACACACACACACAAAAGTCAAAGATTTAAATATGAAACTAAAAAATTTTGTCAGAGACACCTCACAAACAAAAGGCTATTGACAAATGGGAAAAATATTTGTACCTTATATCACTGTTGAAGAGCTAATTTTTTAAAAAATGGAAAATGTTTCACTACACTATAGAAAAGTGGGCAAAGGGTGTGAACTGGTTCATATGAAAAAAATTCATACCGTATTTTCCAGCGTATGAGACGACTTTTGAAACAAAAAAAAGCCTGCTCAGATTGGCCAGAGTCAGAGAGGCGGTCTATTAAAAAAAAGAACTGGTGTTGCCTCGGAAGTAGGGGGTAGTCTTATACAGTGAATATAGGCATAAACCTGTTTTAACTGTAAAATTATGGGGGTCATCTTATACGCTGGAAAATACGGTATGCTTCTTGAACTTATTGAAATATATTCACTAGTGGTCATAATAAGAGAATGTAAATGAAAGAAGGCTATAGAGAGATGCAGTTTTCTACTTTTTAAAAACATATATATTCTTAATTGATTTCAGAGATGAAAGGAGAGGGAGAGAGAGATAGAAACATCAATGAAGAGAGAATCATTGAATAGATGCCTCCTGCATGCCCCACACTGGGGACTGAACCTGAAATCTGGGCATGTGCCCTGACCAGGAATGGAACTAAGGCCTCCTGTTTCGTAGGTCAACACTCAACCACTGAGCCACACCAGCTGGGCCAGTTTTCCACTTTTAAGGCTGACAAATGAAAAGTTGGATAATATCTCCCATTATTGAAAATGTGGGAAAACTTAGTACAACTTCTATGGAGGGTCAGGCCTCTCAAAATAAAAACAAATGGGCCAGCCATTTCTCTTTAGAGATATACATAAATGAGAAATTATATAAATACAAGGATATTGATCACAGTAAAATGAGATATGTACAAGGATTTTCATTGCAGCATTATTTGTAGTAAAAAGCAGGAAACAGCCCAAATCCGTATCAGTAGGGAACTGGTTAAAAAATTATAGTACAAGACAGAATAGCCATTGAGAGGATGAGGAGGTACTAATATGCACTGATCTATAATGATGTCCACATTGTTGTGTGAAGTCACACTCGTAGCATGCTGAATATATATATATATATATATATATATATATATGCTGAATATATATATATATATATATATATATATATATATATATAATTTACAAAAGGCTACATTAAACTGGTCACTGGTTTTATCTAGAGAGAGCCTGAGTGGTGGGGGAAATAGGAGGAGGAATGTTTCACACTCTCTGTACTTTTCTTTGGGGAGGAGAACCTTTTAAAAAATTATAATTCCAAGCCCAGACTCATGTTGGGCCACATTTATTCCACATGAGTCCCTGAGCTGGGAAACTTACATGAAAATTAGTCTAGAAGCAGAGTGAGTGTCTAGACAGGCCCTCAGCAGAGGATGATGGGAAGGACCTCACGTGCACCCTCTACCATGCTGGGCACCCTCTCCAGCTGGGCTCAGAACTGCCACCCACCCACAGCGTACTCTCAGGCCAGCTTTCTCTCGCTTATTCTTTTCTGTCTCGGGGTCTCTGGTATCCCTGTAAGCCACTCTGCTAGTTGCAGCGACAGAGAGATGGCCTCATGTTCCCCAGAGCTAGTCCCGGTGCGTACTCACGCCTAATGTCATCCTGCTTCGTACACTCCCCACTTCTGTGTTGTGTTTGGTCTCCAGTGTTTTCTGACTACAACTTAGCATTTACGTGAGGTTGCTTTAGTTCACCTCAGGTGAATTTCCCTTCCAACATAACCCGATCCCAGCACCCTCCTGCCTCACTGAACTTACCCCAGCCCCTTGGGTGGGAGCACAGACACCACCCACTGAACCAAACTTCTTCCTTGAAGTCGGTTGCTGGCAGAGTTTCTCCGCCCTGCCTCCCCTCCCTTCCCTTCCCCTCCTCAGTTTCTTAGGTGGTCCTGGGACAGTTCCTCTGTTTCCTCCTCCACCTCTGCCCTGGGACAGCTGCTGGTGCCGACCCAGTGGGGAGGAACGGGTGGTTCAGGAGTGCCCTTTTTTTTTTTCCTCCCATCAAATGTCTGCCCTCTAAAGTGTTTTTACTGAACTTGAACTGGTTTTATTGCAACTGACCTGACATTTTCTCCGCATTCTCTTTCACTTTATTGATGTCGTTTTGTAAGGAGATAATGAGTTTAGCATGTTGTGCACTCCCTACATTCTTGTACTCTTCCCAATATTCCTTCTCACTGAGTTTCTCAAGAAATAGTTTCTCAGCCTTACTTATTTGTGAGCGCATATCTGTTGAAAGAAAACCAAAACACCATGTCATTTCTGCTGTCCTTGCCACCATTATATGTTGCCATCTGATCTGATGAATCTGATACTAAAATGCTGTATCTCCTAAATACTATTTTATATATAGGAACTCTAAACTGTTCAAACAATTGTTTAGCTATCCCTCATGATTCAAAATCTAAAATTAAAATTTCAATTCTAAAGTATTTAGAATTGGTTTGGGGCTATGATTGAAAGCTATAATAGACAAGCTATATGCCTAGGAACCCACAAGTTTAAATTATTCTTTTAATAGCTTGATAAGGGTCCTACACAATATATGATGTCCCACAAATTTTTTTTATTAGTAAATTGTCATTTTCTGCCCATTATGCCTCTGGGCAAAGTGATTTCACCGTGTATCATTCCATCATCCTTGGCAACCATTTCTAAAAGTGAGTTGTTTAGTCTGTCCTCTCAAGTTCACTTGTGTGAAGTGACAGTGTATGATAGTCATAACAGCAACTTTCCCCCACACCCACTTATAAGACTTCAGAGTGAAAGATGCGTTCCCCAGTTAAATAGGTTCAGACACTGAGCTATCTCAACTATATAAGTGTTCAGATGGTAATAATTCACTTGCTAAGCATGATGTGCCACTCAGTCTGCAGGCTGATGTCATGCTGCTGGAAATTTTGGAAAAGGAAGCATTACAGAGAGGCAGGTGCCATGAAGTAATGGCTACTTGGGTCACTACCACACACCCTCTTGTTTGAGAGTTTCTTGGGGGCAGTACCACCTCTCACCCATCTCTGAGAGCTCCTGACAGCAACTAACCCCCTTACTGGTCTCTGTAAGCTCTGCGCTTAGCAAGAGTCTGGCAGGCAGTTGGGGCTCAGTAGATGCTTATGGGATGATGGACACATTCCAGTCAGTCGGGAAGGCTGTTCTTCAGTCCGGAGGTCCGGGAGGACCCCAGACATGTCTTCTTCCAAAGATGCAAGATCATAGATTTGAGACCCCTTCAGAACAGCACTTGCTATTGTCATTAAACAGTTAAGCTTCCTATAAGCCAGACGATCAGTGTCCTCTTACTTGAGCAGATGATTGCTGGCTCAGCTCGCATTGGGCTTTTGGGGGGATGCGGGTTAGCATCATGCTGTTCTCCTTTCCCAGAACCCCTCCTCACTTGCCTTCTGGTAACACCCTTTTCCTAGTCCTTGTCAAATCACAGTTGTTTGTATGAAAGATGCTACAATAATTAATAAGTAATAGTTCAAGAAATAAACTGTGTTTCACAGACAACTGAAAACATACTTTTGTCCCACTCGTATGTAGGCCAATTGCAGTGGCCCGTTCTCCTCACCATCGGGACTGGTCCAGGAGTGGGCATGTGCCCCAAGCTAGGCACACGCTGAGTCCTTCAGAGAAACATTTTTACTGAAACTGGTGGAAAACATGTCAATTGTCTCCATTCTGAGGTTATAAGGGTGTAAGATTAGAGATATCTGTGGTTTGAGTGCCAGCCTCATGGGGACAACATGAGACAGGGAGAAGACAGAGAGAGCAGAGGGATAAGGGGAGGGGGGCGAGGGAAGAAGGGAGAGGAGGAGAGGTAGGGAGGGAAGAGGAGATTTTTTTTTTAATAAGAGCTGAGGCTCTGGGTCACCTGTCTTTTCTACTTGGTTATCTGAACCATCTTCTTTATGCTTAAGCAAGCTTAGGTTAGATTTTTATCCTGGTAACTGAAAGAGTCCTAACTAAAAGTTGGAAGGGAGGTGTTACATCAGTACTTCTCAAGCCTCCCTTATGTAGGAATGTCCCAGGACCGTGGTCGGCAAACTGCGGCTCGCGAGCCACATGTGGCACTTTGGCCCCTTGAGTGTGGCTCTTCCACAAAATACCAAGGCCTGGGAGAGTCTATTTTGAAGAAGTGGCGTTAGAAGAAGTTTAAGTTTAAAAAATTTGGCTCTCAAAAAAATTTTTCAATCGTTTTACTGTTGATATTTGGCTCTGTCGACTAATGAGTTTGCAGACCACTGGACTAGGATCTTGTAAAAATGCAGGTTCCGATCCAGTAGGTCTGGAAGGGTCTGAGGTTCTGCATGGAAACAAGCCGAAGGTATGGCTGCTGCTCCACAAACGAATCTGGTGGCCAGTGACCACCTGTACGCAACGGACACACCTGCTCTCTGCCTTCCCCTTTCTTCCTCGGCTTCTGTGGCGGCTTTCTCCCTTGGACGGCACGCACGCCCAGTCTTCCTCTGCTGTGCTCAGGCACCCAGCTCGGCCCCAGAATTGCATGATATACACACCTGGCACTCAGCCAAACCCTAAGCAGGCACACCTCCCGTAACTGGGCCCATTCCCACGTGGAGGCCGCTCAGTGAGCACATCGGAGGATCTGTTTTGGTCTCACTCCCATCTCAAGGGACTTACCAAAGGATTCCTTCCAAACATAAGCAACACTTTCCTGGAGAGGAGCCCTGCACCACACACACCTACCACCTCATGACATCACTGTTGCCCAGAAAGAACTTGGGTAGGAGGAGGTTGATGGGAACAGTTTTGGAGACCCCGAAGAATGAAGTTTGCTGGTTAATGTTTGTTTTTGGTAACGATTTTGTTCAAACCAACCAATTATCTTTGAATGCATGCCTGCTCTATGCCAAGTGCTTGGGTGAGGAGGTTCTCTGAAATACACAGGGAAATGCAGAAAATTCTGGTCCCAGCTTCTAGTACAGCTTCCTGATAGCACTCAAGTCTCTTTCCCATGCTTTCCAGTGTCCTAGCAGAGGTGGTGTTGATAGCATCCTGACTAACGTAGTTTTAGAAATCCTAGCAGCAAGCTTGGGGTAAAGGAATAGGAATTAAAAAAAAAAAAACATATACAAGTGTCAAAACTGTGTGTGTAACTTAGCCCTAGGGTCCCGGTATGTCCTAAGCCCATAGCAAGAGTATGTCCTGGGTCCTTCAGAGTGTGCACTTGTCCTTGACACTGCCTCTTTTCCAACTCGATTCCCTCTTTGCCCATCTAAATGGGGGTGATGCCCTCGCCGGTGTGGCTCAGTGGGTAGAGTGATGGCCTGTGGACTGAAGGGTCCCAGATTTGATTCCAGACAAGAGCATGTACCTTTGTTGTAGGCACATCCCCAGTAGGGGATGTGCAGGAGGCAGCTGATGGATGTTTCTCTCTCATCTATGTTTCTAACTCTCTATCCTTCTCCCTTCCTCTTTGTAAAAACTCAATAAAATATATTTAAAAAAATAAATGGGGGTGAGATGGGTCTTAGCTCGGTAGAGATATTGGTCAGGGGAAGCTTCATGGTTATATTCACCTTATCGTTCCCATCTCTGAACTGAGGCAAAAGCCAAGGAGGCCACCAAGCAAGAGAATTCCCTACAGAAAGGACAGACCCCCACTGTGAGGAGTTCAGAGAGACACCTGCCAGGATACTGTTCAGAGTGTAAGAGTCAGATGGTTTTCATGTGTCTCTGATTTTCATCTCTGCCCTTTCTCCTCTTCCTCCTCACTTGCTTCCAGTATCTCTGCCCCCTCCGTGACTTCCCTCTCCTATTCCTTTACCTCCATGTGTTTGGAGTTGTGATGATAATGATACTCTCTGAAATATCATCACAGCATTTGTAATATGTTAGGAAACAGCGTGTTGATACATTCAAGAAATAACTTGATTCAGCTTGATGATACATTTCTGAGTTTGTACATCACCTTTTAAGTTTTGTTCCTGGTCTCTTTCAAACTTCCACTTTTCTTTCATTGCTGTTTCAACATCCTCTCTTGTTATTTTTAATCCTTCTGACTTCTCTTCACTCAGTTCCTTTAGTAGGTTCCGTATGTGCCAAATCTGTTCATCCTTTAAGCGTCCGTTCTGTCATGAAAAACAACAGTAATTAAGTACATCTGCTGAAGTGTTTACACTGATTTTCCTCAAAATAGAGGCTTGCAAAGTGAGAAAAAAATATTTAATTAAGTTATATAATAATATCTTTAAAAGTTTATGGAATATGGGAGACTTAAAATTAACCCCAGTAACCATTGGATACAAATTAACATTTAGCCCGACTAGTGTAGCTCAGTGGTTGAGCATTGACCTATGAACCAGAAAGTCACGGTTCTATTCAGTTGCAGCTGATCAATAATTCTCTCTCAGACTTATGTTTCTTTCTCTCCCTCTCCCTTCCTCTCTGAAATCAATAAAAATATATTTTTAAAAGTTTGTAGATAGTCTTTTTGGACAAAATCCCCCCTCCTCAAATAACATTTCAGTGTGGAAGTTTCAGGGTTCATATAAAGTTAATGTTTTAATAGGGGACATCCCCAGTATTTCGCCATTCATGAGATGCTTTACGGGGTAAGTTTAATGATCATTTACTGCTTTCAAACTTTATTTCTGTTTGTCTTAAGTTCTTATAGCTGCATACAGAATCTCTTATTCTTTTTAATCTGATTTAAAAAAAACACATGATCTTAAACATTAAATCAGTCATTTTAGCAACTAAAATTGTACTTTTCAAATAATATTTACATATTCACACTCTAAAAAATCTAAAAGGAAAACAGATACAGAAATTAAAAATAAAGAAACAATGTTTAGATTAAATAAGAAATTAGAAGATTAATGGGGTTTCAGAACTTTAAAAATGTTAACCTAAGACTCGGCATCCTCATGATCTAAATAACACAATTCAGCCTGGTTGGTGTGGTTCAGTGGTTGAGCATTGACCCATGAACCAAAAGTTTGATTCCTGGTTTGATTCCAGCACATGACTGGATTGCTGGTTCAATTCCCAATAAGAGATGCACAGGAGGCAGCCAATAGATGATGTTTTTCTCTCATTGATGTTTCTATCTCTCTATCCTTCTCCCTTCCTCTCTCTCTAAAAATCAATGAAAACATATTTAAATAACAAAATTCAAATGGACTTCCTTTGACATTGCAATTAATATAGGAACAGCATTACCCTCTTGCCTCACATGTGCAAAAAACCACACTTAAATAGATTGAAATTAACCAATTATAAGCACTAAGATAATTTCCCAGGGAACATTTTATAACGCAAACATTTTAAAGCATTTGTGTAAATGTTTAATGACTTATAAATAGGCTTTAAATCTTATACTTACTCTCTCCTGAGACTTCTGGTTCTTTTCTCTAAGATTCTTCATCTGAGCCATCAATCGTTCTATTATATTCTCCTTTATTTGCAAGCTGGTAATAAACCAAGATAACATTTTTTACAAATTCTTATCTTAAAAAATTAGTGAGACAAAATTGAAAAATTAAAATATTTTAGTTGTATTAAATAGATTATAAAAACCCATGTATGGATAAGACCTTTCTTAAGTGATTTTGGGTTTCTGGGTATATTTTACTCAGTAAAAGATAGAGATAACTTCAGTTTTTTAAATCAATCACCATTTGTATTTCACAGTAGTAATTTTGATGCTTTCTAACTACGTATAAATAATTCAGCTTTCAGAGACCCTAGAAGGGGCATACCGAAAACATGATTTCTAGGATTCAAAAAACCGTTCAGACAAAAATGACAAAATAAGGACTTTATGAGGCATGCCCATCTTCTTGAAATGAAAGGTAACTTAGGCATACCTACTGGTTTGAGTTCATTAGTATGTCACCTCCTCTATAAATAATAAAAACTTTTTTCTTGACACATGCATTTTTTTAACACCCACAAGAATTTGTTGAGCAGCTGCTAAGTATGAAAGAGAAAAAGTGCAGAAAGACTTCGGCCATTTGATGGCTTATTTGAAGTGTAAAGTGTATTTTGATATTTCTATTACTTAGTAAAACTCATAACTTTAAAGATCAGACTAAAATAAGCACAGAGATAGCTCTATATAACCTCATTACCTCAATTTAAAAAAACGCACAGAAAATAGCAGTTCTGTGGTGCAGTGAACAGACAAGGAAGTGGGTAATGGATGAGGAAGTCTGGTTTTCAATCCTGGCCCTGCCACTTCTTCCCTCTCTGAACTGGGCAAGTCAGTTCTCTGAGATTCAATTTCCAAGCTGTTAATGGAGGTCAATACCCAGCTCTACATATTTTTATAAGGATTAAAATAAGAAATCATATGTGCATGTTTCTGATACAAAGTACTTAGTAATTTTCAGTTGAATTTGAATCTAACTTCCTCAACTCTTTTTCCAAATGATCATTTATATTTGTGACATTGTATATAGAGTAGCGAGAAAAATAAGGCTCCTTCTTTCCAAATGATGAGAAAATGGGACATAAAAACAAAACAAACAAAGCAAATCCGTTAGTGGCATAAAAGCTCTGTTTAGAGACTATGAACCTTGGATTTTAGGCTTGGCCTCCACTAACTGCCTCTTAACATGTTTGGGCCTTGGCTTGCTCTTCTATAAATAAGAGAATCAAAGGAGATGAACTCCATCATTCCTTGTCAGTTCCAAAATTCTACAATTTAAGTTTATCAGTGTTGCTTTTCACGCTGTCGTACGTATGAGTATAATGGTGATTTAATGAGTAGCCTCCATGTGCCCAGCATCTGTTTGGGCTGTATATAGAGATAGTGACAAACAATGAATGTCCTTATGATACTTGCCTTCAAAGAGCTCACATTTTACTAGACAACCAAGTAATAAATACACAAACATTATTTACATACTAGAGGCCCAGTGAACGAATTCATGCATTGGTGGGATTCCCTCAGCCTGGCCAGTGATCCAGCCAATCTGGGCCACAGGAGGTTGACTGTGGGAGGCACTGACCACCAGGGGACAACTCCTGCATTCAGCATCTGCCCCACAGTGACCAGTCAGTTATTCCCTTAGGCTTTTATATATATAGATTTTGATAAATGCTATGGGGAAAACAACAGGACATGAGAATAATAGTAAATGAAAATACTACTATAGATATGGTTTAGTCCACATAATAGTTTGAAATAAAGCTATTGGCAAGTATAAGCCACCTTTTACTTCTTACCTAAGCTTAGATGTACAATTTTGAAAGAGTGCCTTTTCTACCTCCCATTTTTTTTAAGAAGAAAACTAAAAATGTTACTAATGAAAACCATCTGAAAGAGCCTATGCTAATTACTCACGTATCTACAATTATAATATAGTAATCCTAATTCTCTTCATGGGTGGAGCAGGGAAATGGGTTCCAAGTATGTGGTCTCCATTGATGCGAGACTGAGAGCCTACCTAAATGGTTATTTAGCATCAAAGATCAAACTGGAGATTATATTCAGCCCCAATGCCAGATATTGCATGGGACACACCTGTACTAAAAAAATTGTTGTTTACCTGAAATTCAAATTAAATCGAGCATCTGTGTTTTCATTTGCTGCATCTGGCCACCCTCTACTTAAGCCTACCCTTCCCCCCTCAGAGAGGAGAGGAGCAAACACCTGAGGGCTTTGTCTTGTGTTCCTCCTGCAGTGAGCAGTTCAGGAAGATTTCAGGGAATTCTGAGATACCCCTAAGATTTTGGCGGCATCATCACCCTTTCCCAGATACTAGTACATGGTAGCCTAGACCAGTGGTCGGCAAACCACGGCTCGTGAGCCACATGCGGCTCTTTGGCCCCTTGAGTGTGGCTCTTCCACAAAATACCACAGCCTGAGCGAGTCTATTTTGAAGAAGTGGCGTTAGAAGAAGTTTAAGTTTAAAAAATTTGGCTTCAAAAAAAATTTCAATCATTGTACTGTTGATATTTGGCTCTGTTGACTAATAAGTTTGCCGACCACTGGCCTAGACTCTCCTTGGAATTCACTTCCATGTTGTCAGGCCTCACAGAGAGATGGATTTGAAGTTCAGAACTCCACGCTGTGAGCCACTGTGGGAATTCAAGCTTCACCGTTCTCTGTACTTTTTCCTGTTCATATCTCTCTCATCTACTCAGTGCCCTACTGACTCACATATCACACTAAATGCTGAAAAAAGTGGGATAATAAATCAGTGAGGTAAGACATATAAAAGAGAATTAAAAGGCTATATAGCACTATTATTCTGAAGCACATGCTGTGAAATAGTTAGTATACCCTATGTCACCTTTTCTCTTCCCTCCCTGTATTTTTAAGATATTAGTAACGTGTCCTCTTTCTCCCTCTATGCAATTTCATTGAGAGTTCTGAGAAGGAAAATAAATTTGGATTCCAAAAAATTCTATACTTTTATCTCTCTCTCTCTCTCTCTCTCTCTCTCTCTCTCTCTCTCTCTCCCCACCCCCATAATAATATACACATCTATTTCTTTATCTACTAGAGGCCCAGTACATGGATTTGTGCACCAGTGGGGTCCCTCAGCCTGGCCTGTGTCCTCTTGCAATCGGGGGCATCTTGGGGGATGTACCGGTAGCAGTGGATGAAGAAGCAGGCAGCTGGGGAGGAGCCTGAGCCCAGGCTGGGCGCTTGGCACCACCACTGCTTGGTAAACTCGCTGAGTGGCGTCCCCACCGTGGGAGTGCACTGACCAACAGGGGGCAGCTCCTGTGTTGAGCATCTGCCCCCTGGTGGTCAGTGCACATCATAGCAACAGGTCGAATGGTCAAAAGGTTGCTTAGGGTTTTAAATATATAGATATCCATATTCTTAGTGGAAAACTGTGGGGGGGAGGCAAACACATGGAGAAAATAAAAACCATCATTGCTCAGAGATGTCACCTTATATGTTTATCATTAACAGTCTCAGCTCTTCACAAAAAACAATGGAAGTTCATTAAAAAAAAAGTTCCGTTGTTCAGAAATCATTGACGGCCTACTATGTGCTCTCAGCTTGTTGTTATGAGCTGAGATTGTGTATGAGAGGTGTTAGGGGTTGCCAGGGGACCCTGGGAGAACCCTTCCTCAGAGAATGGGGGGACGTCCTGATGATCTGTCACGTGCCAACACGTCAGTCACCCGGGAACACATGGAATGATACAGTGTCCCTAGCAGTGAGGCCTGGCTGTTCCAGGCCATGGGATTATTTATTCAGTTTTTACAAGGGAAAAAAACAAAAGCATGGGATGTTTACTTTCTATCTTGTACTACATTAGGAGAATTTTTCAGTGTTGCCTCTTTGTAAACCTCTGTGAAATAGGAGAAAGACTGGCCTCTGGCTGACCCAGAAGAGAGAGAAACAGTTGTGATTGGATGTTGTCACTGTAACCAGGGAGGGAGATGGTGATGTGGGGCCGGGGGGCGGGGGGGTGCAGATTGTAATCACAGAGGCTGACTTTCTGTCCATCTTTCCTAAGACAAGATGAGGAACCTTCACAGTTAGGTTGAGAAGTGAGTGCTGGTAGTATCTGCTTATGTCAAGCAGAAAATAAAAGGGAACCTTGTGAAAGATCCCATTCCATGGGTCTTTCTCTCTCAGTCTCTCAAGAAGCATGTGAATTTTCCCTGAATTAAAAATAATTCCCTCAAACAAAGACCTAGTCACCAATATCATAGCTTCCCCACTTCCCACCTTGTCCCCTCCAACAAATGGCTTGCCATTCCCAAATCCCAAAGGTCCCACAGGGCTCTGCTCACCTGACCCTTGCCAAGGGCATCCGAGTCTGTGCTTGCCCTCTTGCCCTCACCCTGCCTTCTCTTGTTTCCTGGACTGGAACAAGCATTCCTCATCCGTGTCTTTCTCATAAGCCTTCTCTCTACCACTCTGTCTCCATAACACCCTTCCCTCTCCTAGAGATCAGATTAAACATTACTTTTTTTTTTTTTCACATGGAATGTAAATTTTAATTACAAAAACAAGAATATGAATAAAACATTTTAAAATAATCTCAATTATTTGGCAACTCATCACATCGTCGCTAGAGATGAATTTGATCGTAAGAACAGTTAAATCTTATGAAAAATGTGAGTTGGACAGTTTGCTCATATGGGAGTTGACGGTGTTTAAAAAAGGACCTGGCAGCAAAGCCAGTCTCGATCCTGAAGTAACTGTGTAGGAAACAACACAAAATCCTGAATCATGATAGCAGTGACCTGATCTTCCAAGCGTTTCCCTTCCGGTCAAGGTGATAAGGTGATGGGAGAGAACAGGGCTCAGCCTGGGGGCGGCAGAGGGCCACGGCCACGGCCACGGGTGAAGGGGTTTCTGCCGCCATCACCACCGGGCTGGTGGTGAAGTCAGACATGAGGTCCATCTAAAACACCTAGCCGCCACTGCTCTGAGCTAAGCTACTTCGCTGGCCGCATGCGCGGAGGCTCCGCGGCTCATGCCAGGCCAGACTGCGGCAGGTACGGGGCAGGCAGTCCTAAAGCACATCTAATGCCTGCACAGCCGTTAAAACCCTTCCACTAATTAAAAAAGTAATAAAATAATAAACAGATATATAGTAAAGTTCACAGATAAGTTTTCTCTGTAAAATAAATAAAGTGTTCCTTGATTAGCATCATATGCGGAGTAAAATACAACCTATTTTTACATAAACATTACTTCTTAAAATAAGCTTTGACTGCTGAAACCGATTTGGCTCAGTGGATAGAGCGTCGGCCTGTGGACTGAAGGGCCCCCGGTTCGATTCCGGTCAAGGGCACATGCCTTGGTTGCGAGCACATCCCCAGTAGAGGGTGTGCCAGAGGCAGCTGATCAATGATTCTCTCTCATCGATGTTTCTAACTCTCTATTTCTCTCTCTTCCTCTCTGTAAAAAATCAATAAAATATATTAAAAAAAAAAAAAAAAAAAAGCTTTGACTGACCCCTCTTTGGCACCCTACTCTTTTCTTTCATTGCACCTTAATTATGTTGGTTTTTTTTTTTTTTTTTTTTTTTAAAGCTTAAATTAGTTATTGAATGTCTGTCTCTCATGCTTCATCAGACAGGGACCTGCTCACTGTTGTCACCCAGTACCCAGCATTTGCCTCCTTCTTGGCAAACATTCAAGTATTAGTTCCATGAATGCATGAATGAAGTACATGCTTATTTGGCAAGAGACTGACCTATAATCATTCACTCCCTAAGAATTACACATTGAAGCACCCACCCGAAGCCAAAGCTGGGGTTCAAAGCTGTCAAGGGGCTCGGTTTCCATTGGTCGGGTAAAACAAGAACATAGAGTAGGTGTGACCTCTAGCTTTGTCTCCAGCTCCTGGGAGGGAAACACTAAAAAATATTCTTACTAAAAAATACTGCCAAATCATTTGTATTTGATCTGGAGCTATTTAGAGAGCATGCAAATTGGAATGTCTGGAAATGAAAAGCTAGATAAAGAAGAAAATTTTCCTCACTTACTCTTCTATGAATGCATGCTAACTATTCCGTGTTGCATGTTGTGTGTATATGAGAAGTTGGCCAATGATACTGAGTGGGGAGGGAGGGAGCTAAAACCCATTGATGAGGGCTGTTCCATAGCTACTGCTTGGGCCATGTGAGAGTCCAAGTTTCCCAAACTGTTAACAATTGGCTCTTAGCATGAGAGTGCAATTCTGCCTCCAATTCCCAGCAGCCCGGCTCCCTGGACAGCTTTAAAAAAATTTTTTTATTGATTGATTATGGTATCACATAATTGTCCTCATCCCCCCATTCCCATCCCAAACCCCTCCCCACATATGCCCCCACTCCCCATGTGTCCATGGCCACTGGCTAGGCCCATATGCATGCACACAAGTCCTTTGGTTGATCTCTCCCCCTTACCCCCATCCTCCCCTACCTTCCCTCTGAGGTTTGAGAGTCTGATCGCCGCTGCTTCTCTGTCTCTGGGTCTGTTTTTGTTCATCAGTTTATGTTGTTCATTATTCCCCCTAGATGTGTGAGATCATGTGATCCAAGAAATACCCTTGTAAGAACCGAAACTGAGACAAGCCACCCTGGGCAGCTTTTACACGAGTCTTAACGATGGCCATTTACACACGGAAACCACTGGATTTAACAAGGCACACTTACTGATAGTCTAGAAGTGCTTCACTGGTAGACATTTTCTCTTCTTTCCACAGCCCATCTAGGGGATCCTTTTTACCTGCTTTCGCTGGGATTTCCATTGTTGCTTAGCTAGTAAGAAATACCTGTTTCGGAAAGAGATGTAAGAGAAGTAAATAAACTCTTGTCTTTGCTCCTCTGCTGGTGTTTACTCAAGATAAGGCACCCAGTCAGCTTTTCCAGCTCACATCCACCACAATTCCCCATCCTTAATCCATTGGATTATTGAATTCTGTAGCCCAGGTACAGGATTAGCCCACCCCAAACTGCGAGACTCACTCCCTTATGTCATCTATCTGCTGCCCCGACAAGCTTCTTTAAGAGCAATGACTGAGCTTTTTAAATCATTTCATTTCTCCCCAGTGTTTGGCAGAATGCACTACATATAGCAGCAGCTCGATCATTGTTACTTTTGAAAAAAAATTAAGACAAACCAAAAGAACAATTTTCTACGAGCACCAAGTAACCTGGATCCAAGGGAATTGGGTTTGGCCAGGGCTGCCATAAAGAGCAAAGAGAAACACAAATTAAAGCATTTTTTAAAAAGTGGTTCAGAGGTTTATAAATACAAGGTGATGATAATAATGCATTTGTATTCACAGTAACTGCTCATCAGCTATTAATTGCTTTTGCAGCTAATAATAAAAATTTATCAAAAATACTTTTTTTAAAGGGGGAAATTAGGTCCACTGTTCAGATAGTTTGATATAAACAGGAATACTCTGGAGATTTGACATGGGTACTAACGGTCTTCTTTTCAGATAGACTTTAACAGATTTTTTTTTATCTTTCAATTTTCCATTAATCTCTATAAAACAACTGCCTACCTTTCAGTCAGTGTATTTGTAGTTGAGTATGGTAGAAAGAACACAACCTTTGTAATGTGTTAGCATGTCTGGGAACACCATGAGTCTGGGGCTGATGTCATTCTTGTGCATCCCTATATGTCACCCCCAGCGTGACAGATGCACGACAAATTCTTGTCGAGTGAAGAGATACATAAGATGGATGAATGACACAGGAAGACATGTTTTTAATACCAGACCCACCACTTACTACTGTGTAACCTTGAGTAGGTTACTTAATATTTCCCAGCTTCAAATTCATTATCTTTAAAGTGAGAACAAAAATCTCCTTCTGGCCAAAACTGGTTTGGCTCAGTGGACAGAGCATCAGCCTGCGGACTGAAGGGTCCCAGGTTCGATTCTGGTGAAGGGCATGTACTTTAGTTGCGGGCACATCCCCAATAGGGGGCGTGCAGGAGCCAGCTGATCAATGTTTCTCTCACATCGATGTTTCTATCTCTCTATCCCTCTCTCTTCCTCTCTAAAAAAAACCAATAAAATATATATTTTTAAAAAATCTTCTTCTGAAAGCTGTTGTAAGGATCAAGTAGGCTACTATTTATAAGGCACCTCATAAATATCGAAAGAACTCAATGTTATGCCCCCTTACCTTTCAGCCCCCAGCTGTGCTTCTTCAAAGGCACAGCAGGATGGCTGTCTGCTGCCAAGGATGATGATGTGTGGGAAGGCTCACCTTTGTGGTTTGCTATTGTCAACAGCCATCATGGATCTGGATCATTGAATTGGCAATCTACACGATTATTCATACCCACAGTGGGAAAACTCTCTGAAATGAGAACACACCTTTTCCCCCCCCCGGAGACATGCTGCTCGCACACCCAGGCTTCCAGCCTGTATCTGAGACTTTTCTAGCCAGGTGTGTGGGTCTCTATATTCTAACCGATTTGGATATATGTCAACTCAAATGAACTGCAATACTTTCCAACTGAAAGTCAAACAGGTGACACAACATAGATTGAATATGTTGAGAAAGGGCAGTACATTAACTCGAAAGTATGAGAGTAATTCCATGAGCTACAAACTAAAATGTGTCATTATTACCATCATAGTTCACAGAAATTTGCCAGCTAGGAAACAAAAATCACTTTCTTTTGTTTCAGATACAGAGTTGAATTTTCCATATTATCTTCTATTTTAGAATTAGAATTTTTTTAACTTGACAGTTGCACAAAAAGACAGCATGCTGACAAGTGTTTCATTTCACAGTAGCTTACAATTTCACAGTGATTTTTACTATAAAATATTTCATTTACAAGTTAAAACAAATGTCAACATTAACCTCTAATTTTCTTTCCGAGTCATATGGAAGAGATCAAAGTGTCACGGTTCCCACCTGCAGCACCCATCTGGTGCTGGAGGAAAAAATGACCTCATCACAACAAAATTACCTCAGGTACCTGGCTCTAATGTTCTCAACTCTCTGACTGATGTATAATTAGTTACCTAACTGCAGCCCGTGGCAAAGGATTTGAATAAAATATGAGAGAAAATGTGGATCCATTAAGCCCAAATAATTTATGCATAAACTATATTACGATTCATTGTTTCACAGCCTTTCCAGAAAATTAGTAAGCCAATTGGATTGCCTGCTCTATAGTTGCACTAGAGGTTCAGTGCACGGCATTCATGCACTGGGATGGGGGGGTCCCTCAGCTCAGCCTGTGCCCTCTCACAACGGGCATCCTTCGAGGGGTCCTTAGTGCTGAGGCGAGAGAGGCTTCCGCCACCGCCGCTGCGCTTGGCAGCCGTGAGCCCAACTTCTGGCTGAGTGGTGCTCCACCTGTGGGAGTGCACTGACCACCAGGGGGCAGCTCCTGCACTGAGTGTCTGACCCCTGGTCAGTGTGCATCATAGTGACCAGTCATTCTAGCATTTGGTTATATAGGATTTTATTATATAGGATTGCAATGAGTTAATGATATCACCTCAACAGGCACTTTTGCATTTGATGATGTTCTACAAACAATGAGGATTTTCATAAGTATTTAAAAGGATTTACAATTCCTGACCACCAGATGATTTCTGTCTTAGTCAAGGGTGAGTATCCTAGAAAAACATTCACAAAGTAATGTAATCATCTTCCAAGAAGGTTCCACTTAGAATATTTCCTGACAAATGGACACCTGATCTGTTTGTTGGTAGCTACAAACATTTATTCAGTGCCTGCTCTGTTCATGAAACTACCTGGCCTTTGATTATAAAATACTAGAGGTCCAATGCACAAAGATTCATGCAAGAATGGGCCTTCTTACCCTTAGCTGCCAGCACCACCTTTGCTCCGGTTGGCCTGGAGCTGCCTTTCCGCCTTCCCATGCTGCTCAGAGGCCCAGAGCAGCTGGGGTGGTGCTGTGCGCCTGCATTGTTGCCATGGCAATGATGCAAGCGTCCTGCCCCCAGCCACTCACACCTGTGTATGCAAATTAACCCTCCATCTTTGTTGTATAATTTGCATACTCGCTCCTGATTGGCTGGTAGTAATTGCAAAGGCACAGTCAATTTGCATCTTTCTCTTTTATTAGTGTAGATAGAAGAGGCAAGATCTCTACTTAGACTGACAGGAAGAAAGAAACATACCCCAGCAGAGTTTTTAAAAAATAATGAATAGCCGAAACCAGTTTGGCTTAGTGGTAAAGCATCGGTATGCGGACTGAGGGGTCCCAGGTTGATTCCAGTCAAGGGCATATATATTGGTTGCAGGCATATCCCCGGTGGGGGGTGTGCAAGAGGCAGCTGGTCGATGTTTCTCTCTCATTGATGTTTCTAGCTCTCTCTCACCCTTCCTCTCTGTAAAAAAATTAATAAAATATATATTTTTTAAAAATAATGAACAGCTTTAAAAGACTTTAGCAAAATTGTGCAGGTAATGAATGATATGGAAACCTTCACTCACAGTATGACCTTTGGGGCCATCTGGTCTTCCTCTGTTTGGGCATTCCATAACATGCCGTGGAGTGAGGGCAGGTGAGGAGGCTGGGTTTAAAAGACTCAGATCTCCAGCCTTTTTAGAGTCTACTACATAATCATTTTGTCAGAAAATATTTTATAAAGTATTCCTCAAATACTTCTCAGTGAAGAGCAAAAAGTCTGTTTTAGTAAAAATGGACATATAGTAGCCATCTTCATCAATGTACTGTAATTCTGTCGTCAATGTACTGTAATTCTGTAATGCTTTATAGACTGTAAAATAACCTCCCAAATGAGTATGTCCTTCCCTGTGCAGTTTCAGGATTCTGGTTCAATATCTAGGAAGCTCCTAAAGCCTTTTTTCACCACTTTGTGGAGCCATGAATAGCCAGAAGCCTCCTGATGACTCGTGCCATAATTTTGTGGAGACTGGGAGGGATGGAAGTTCTGCCCTAATACTTTGCTGGCCATTTGGAATGGATCCTGATGTTTGTTAGCTAATTGATATCTATAAAAGGCTAATGTGCAAAGTGTCCCCCTTGGGAGTTAGACTGTCTTGCCCAGTCCTGATTGGGGGAGGGACCACAGGAAGTTGGCTGGCTGCGGGAGAGGCTGAGGGAGGTTGAGTGTCTGCCCCTTAGTGGTCAGTGTGTGTCATAGCTACTGGCCTGTTGTCTAGTCTTAAGGGTCGCTTAGGCTTTTATATATATAGATTCTTAGCTTAAAAATTGGTCTATCTTTTGATCCCAAGTTGCTAATAACAAATAGTTTTAAATGCAGTATATTACACTAACTTTTCTACCAGAACTACCTCATCACCCAACTTCTGTTTTCCTTCACTTTAAAAAAAAAAAAAGAAAAAAAGAAAGAAAAAGAAACATAACCACAAAGAGATTGTTGTGAGGACAGTGGAAATACACGCAGTACTTTTATAGTTGGATGGAGGAGGAAACCAAGGAGGTTTCTATTTCAAACAGAATGTAAAAAGGATCTACTCAGGTTGGGTAGTGGGGTGGCAGACAGGAAACCCATGAGCAATTAGCACACACCAATAAACATCCAGTCATCATTTTTCTTCTCTGCCTTCACAGAACTTTTTTTTTTTTCTCTCCCTTCAATGGGACACCTCCCATCTCCCAACCATTTCAGCTCTCTCGGCCCTGCAGAGACTTATGGGGGAACAAATCTAACAAGTAAAGAATAATTCAAAAAGAAAACAAAATCTGTGGGTTGGGAGGGTGAGGGTGAAAGGCCATTCACAACACACCTACAGAGTGTCTGTCTGTCTGTCT